TGTTAAAATTATTAAAATGTACGAAGTTTTTTGTTTTATCATGTGAAAATATGTCAAACGAGGAGGCGGTTTACCTGATGTCAAGTGAATATCACCACCCGTGGCATCTACAACACCCAATGGCTTGCAGACGCGTTGACAACCTTTAAAATAGTGGGCCTCGGCAAAACTTTTCGTCCAATTATTTTTTTTTCAAATTGTAATGTTTCTTAAGTTCTGAAATTATCATAATAAGAAGTTAATACTTTTTTCCGATCCATTGCAAATCAAAGCTATGTTGACAAAATATAACTACTTTAGTCTATCGTCTCCCCAATACATTAATGGTCACGCACTACATTAGAATATCACTTTTTACATTTATTACATGTCGTAATTTATAAAGTATATGTAATTTATACCGTGACTTATAGTAATTCATACGTTGGATGCGTCATTTCTGTTTTAATGACGTTTTATTTTATTCTAAACGTTTTAAACGTTTTTCCCTGGTGATAGGGCCACGCAGCAGCCTCGGCTGTTGCACGAATGGGCAGGCTCGTTCGGGTAAATACCACGACCTCACTGAAGACCGGCGTAAACTGGAAGTACATTACTTTCGCGTTTCATCTGGTGAGTGAGGTTGCCGGAGCCCACTTTTCAAAAGGGATGTCCATGGGCGGCGGTATTCACTTAAGATCAGGTGAAGCGTCTGCTCGCTTGGCAACTTTTCACATAAAAAAAATGTTAAATGTGATAAGGAATGCAAAGTAAAGATGAATAAAATCAGTTAACGACAACAACATATAAATTCTTTATATTTTTGTTTTATTATTATTAAAATTGAATGTAAATAAATCTAATATTACATTGGATTCAAGAAATATTTTTTATACCTAAATCGCGTAACAATGAATTTTGTCTTGAAATTTTTGTTACACATTTGATAGTTTGTTGTTTTTGACATATTAGTCTCATTGAAATCAAATATTTCTTTCCTCTTATTGGCTCTCTCTCCTGAATTCACTAAAATGACAAAATTTTCAAATATTTCCTTTTGAACATTTGGGTAAGTATGTATATTAGACTACGTGATTATTTTGAAACTAAAAGATCGTTATTTAAGTGATTTACAGGTAGCATAATATGATTTGACTGATAACAGTTATTTACTTGCAATCGGCCGATAGTATAGCTCATAAATATTTACTTAGGGTCTCGAGAATACTACGTGTGCACTTGCTTGTGATTTCAAGGTTTAATATTTGATGCCTGACAATTCAGAGTATTTTAAAATCTTAAGGATAAAGGTTATGCAATATTTTCTTGCTAAACTACAAATTATACATAGATTTGCCCTATCTAGTGGAGCTTCTTTAATTACAGATCAATGTATTATACATACGAAACAAATAAATTTCCTTTATATTATACCTAAACAAAACACTAAGCCAACGAGTTGGAGATAAATTGCCCTCTTTAACCACAACCACATAGCCTATTTTAGGCTGAGGTGAGTGTTGAGACTAATAATTTGCTGATAATGCAATATTAAAAGACGCTGCGGCCTTATAAAAGTGAGCTACTTTTCACTTTTATGTTAATACCCTTAGAGGAATTAACTTTCCAGAAAAAGTATCTCATAAGTTAAAAGACGTGATTTCTAACAAATCACCTATTGAATATATCATTATATCTAAATTTATCAGTTTAGCAGTGCATATCGATTTGGTTATGGGATAAACGACACAACTTTTGTATCTATATATTTGTATAGAACTATCGTTAGTTTACTATCTGCATAAATCTGATAGTAAACTAACGATAGATCTATCTAGGAGATATTATGCCTATGTAGTTTCCTAAAAACCATCCCAAAGTCTGAATTTTAATATGCCATACATGAAGTGCACAGACTGCTCGGCAATACTACCAGCCCATCGTGGCATCAGCCGTTTAGCTTCGTGGTTATAGGGTCAGGGCGCGATTCCGGAAGACGTGGGTACGATTCCCGCCGCAGCGAAAAACTTTTCGTACATTTTTCTCAAATTTTAATCTAAATAATTAATTATGCCAACCGTATCCCAATACATGATATGGAAGAGGTATTCCTTGATATTATTTTTTTAAATAATAAATAATTTCGATTAGTACTTATTACTCCTTTAAAAATAAATAAATCCAATTATTCGTACAAATTTTGTTGTAATTACGCATATTTATTACAGCAGAAATTCTGATATCCTTGTGTCACCGGCAGATAATAGTAACACAATTGTCATAGTAGATAATCTTTTGTTTTGTAACTGCAATTAGACACCTCGTCTTACTTGTAAATTAAACAAGCTCTTTTATCTCAGATGGAGGGAAAATAGGGTTGCATCGAACCTCCTGAAATATATGGAATGCGATAAAAAACACAAACCCAAGTGGCCTTTATGTCCCCCTTCAATTTTCTTGCAGACAGTGAATGGAAAAGCAAAGAGTTTTGTAAGCGATTCTACACATTTCATATATCTCTTAGAGGACATCAAAATCTAAATATGTTAAGATAATGGTCAGTTTCGACGGGGGGTGTCTATTCACTAATGTAGCAGGATATAATAAAAGAATACTTAATTGTGAACAACTTGCCTTCTAAGTATGAGAGAAGGTGGCAAGCGAGCTGGAGGTTCACCTGATGTTAAGTGATAACCACCGTCCGTATGCAACACCCGTAGGGTTGCAAATGCGTTGCCACCTTAATAAAGTAGGCCTCGGCTACCTCACTTATCACATGAACCGCAGAATTATGACACTGCGGCTTCACGCCGGTTTCTGTGAGGTCGTGGTACTTACCCGGACGGACCTGCCCATTCGTGGAACAGCCGATGCTGTTAGATGGCCCTACCACAGAAAAAATAGATCAATTGTAATCAATAAGGTTTTTCTCTGGTGAGGGTATTTCTATCTGCAAGTAGATGGAATTGCGGTGGTCTCATCAACAGCACCAGTTGTACCAATAGATTTGTGGATTATTTCGTGGAGAAGGCCTTTGAGATAGCTCCATTAAATTCGAGATACAGGTGGATACGTAGACACAGTTTCCAGACATGGCTACAACTGGCGATAGAGTTAACGGCTAGCAAACACGACAGCAAGCAACGGCCTCGGATTGTATGGAGTTTGCGAGTTCCGGCGGTGGAATAGCGGCTACAAGTTAACACGACTAGAACCGCATCTTGCAGCGCTGGCATTAAAAATATCAATTATAGAAAACGGGGAAATATTAATCAGTATTTCAAATACATAATATGTTTTGCGGCCGACTTGTTATTTAAAAAACTTTTGACGGCAGCTGTCAATAGATATAGCCGTGATATTTGCAGTAACGTTTTCTTATGTTATTGTTTGATAATGTTTTCACACCAAGCTAAATCGAAAACTGTAAACTAGAACCAAATACATCGCAGGATTTACTCCTAAAGTTTTGAGAGTTCCCGTAGCCGCTCCAAACGCACAATGAGTGGCCACCGAGATGGTTTTAGTGAGTACAAGTCTCACGTAACAAAAAAAGAAAAGATTTGCTCCCTAACAGCACCAAAACCATAATAGAGTCAATACTCGAATTTTCTTTTTAAGTGGTTGATTTTAAAACTTAGAATAATGTCTTTCTTTTACCAATTATGAAAAAATAAATGTACAGAAGTAATTACTTTGACACAATAAAATAGATTACCGTAAACGTCTCACTGTAGAAATCTTTTAAACCCATTTCAAATAACATTCTCCAAAATTTCATAATTTGCGTTTTACTTTCAACGCGTTAGTTTGTTCTTCGTCTTCGTCGTCTTACAGCTGAAGTCATATGTATAATATTGCAGCTAGTTGGATGGCATCACGAATATAGACCACAATGCCTTTATACCATGACAGCGTTCGTTCATATTTTTTACCATAATTAAACTTAACATGGGGAATCACGTCAGCGTACGCCGCATTGCAGTGCCGAGCCTCCGTTGATCGATGAAATGAAGACTTCTTTATTGTTTGGCCACTTATTCCGCAATATTCGCTTATTCTATTAACATGAAAGGCCACGCATAAATAAAAAGCATATTAAAAATAATTATCAGTCTTTAAAGACTTGTCTTTTTAGGTTGAGATATTAGTTCCATATATGCTTAAAATATAAGTTTAGACATGATATCAATAGCTTTGTACTGGTATAATAAAATGGGTTCTTGAGTGTTGAGACCGTAATAAAACGTTCCTTAATTCATTCAATATTCGCATTTCGCATTTTTAGTTAGTTTCTTTTACGACGCAAAAATAGTTTCGATTCGCCTTTGTTCATCAAAGCCGTAACTCAACTCTATTTGATATAATAACAGAATGTTAGAAACTAAACTTTTATGTAGACGTAAAGCTTCGACATTAACTAGTTAATTTTTTGCGTGTTTATGTTTCGTTTGCTTCCAAGGGAAATAATAATTATGGAACTGTGTTCATGTTATTATTAAAGATTTCTTTTCTTGGTCGTTTGATTGGCAAAAAGCAAAACTTTCCGAAAAAGCTATTTTATTATTTAATCATTTGTGAAGGTGTTGGCATGTCTTCGCTAGTTTTTTATTAGGTTTCTGTGAATTTGAACAAATATTTTACATAACTAGAACTATCCTCAGTGGATTCCAAACATAAAGAGTAGAAACTATCAAGAAAAACTATCAAAGGTGTAACTTTTGTTTAAAAAATGAAACATGACATTTTTAGAACGTCATAACTAGAACTATCCTCAGATAGGATTTCCAAATTAAAGCGTAGGGACTCATCAAGAAACTATAAGGTGTAACTTTGTTAAAAAATTAAACATGACATTTTATCACGTGCTTAATTACAATATATTGAGTGGAAGAAAATAATGTTATAATTAGAATATTTACACACAGTGCGACAAATCTAGGAATTAAATAATTATCCAATCGAATAAAGGTAGAACTATTTTTAAAGGTAGAATCTAACCATCGACTTATTGTTTGCAGAGCGGCTGACCCGAGAATGAAACGCGATGAGTCGGTAAAGAGCATCCAACAGTTCAGAGCCGGCAGGAGCGAGCGACCGTCGGGGTTCGCTTTAGGCTGGCGACAGAACTCGCTCACTATAAGCGCGTTCGCTCAGCATTCCGCTTATTTAACTGAAAAAGCTCGCAACAAAGAAGTGTTAGTACATCGTTATCTCTTTTGTTCAGCATCACATCGAGTAGGTACATTTGGTTTATCACAACTGATGTTAAGCATGCTGTGGAGGTGTGAAAGAATAGGCTATTGCAATTTTTACTAAATTCTCGATATATATGATAAATTTAATTAATCTTATGGACTTACTGAACGCTAACGGAAGTGTAATTGAAGCATAAGTTGATTTTTAATATTTTTAGACACCATTATGATATATCACTTGTATTTTTTAGATTTTTTTTACTTAGTAAATTTCAAAACAGTAGATAGCGCAATTAAGTTCTATTTTGACACGATCCCATTATTATGTTAATTTATGTACATCCGCCAGTAGAATTGTATGCGCTTTCGCTTAGCAATTCGCTTGCGCAGCTCGAAACAAGCTCTTGGGTAGTGAGCGAATTCTGCCGTCGTTTCAAGAATGCTCGACTAGCGGATAAGTTCAATAAGGCAGCGAAAAAGCGCTTTAGGTATTTTACACCCGAGAAAGGTGACGAATTATCACGTGACTCTGAAATGAATCATGTTGTTCTAAGCGAAAGCGAAGCCTGATCAACTTTTGTTTTCAGTGAAGAGCAACAAGAACAGTCAGCGCCGGTTTCCTGGTTTCATCTAGTAAGTATTATTTTTTTAATAGCCTCCGCACAGCCTCTTCACAGCCACCATTTGTTTCAAAACCTACTTGAAAAGGCCGGTATTTTTTTTAAATCTGCACACACGATGAAAATTTAAATGTGACTTTAATAGATAAACATTTATTGTAAAATGTTATCTGAGAGTGTCGGCATACTGTAAAGCTGCCCGCTATAGTATGTATATCCACCTGACCAGTGCCTAGACTACAAGTTTTATTCACATAATATTATTAGTAGTAAAGTATAAAATGGATTGTTATATTTTAAAAAGCTTTTTACACACTCCATTAAATATTTTTTGGTATGGCATAACTAGTAAATAAGAAAAGCTAAAATGCTAAATATTTTTTTTAGTGATTGTTTACTCTAGGCCAAAATACCTATACAAAGCAGACAATTACCCTTAGGTACATGAATAAATGCCGCAAAATAGTAAACGTAATGTGCGAATATAGTAAGATAAATTTGTTAACTTGATCTAAACAATTCTTCAATTTGAATTAAAGAAGAGGTTCTCCTGGAGGTTCGGAACTTGGCTTTTTTAATTAAGGAGCACCTAAAAGATTACGATATTTATTAGATATTATTATTTTATTAAATATTTAATAATATTTAATAAATTATATATAGATTATTATTAAAAGATTAAGTGAATCTGTATGGACTACCTCAAAGCCCGGTGTGATAGTTACAATTTTCAGTTAGGGTCATTTTAGTGGAAATTGAATTATTTCCAGAAAAGAATATTTCACAATTGGAATTATTAATAGTCTATTAATCGAGACCGATATTTTTTAATTGACTTGTGATTTCAAAGAAATCGGTTTGTACATCATCAAACTTAACGTACCGTCGTTTAGGTACCAGACATTTAGTTTAGATTGAAATTTTGAAATAATTGGAAGAATGCCTAAACTGAATAATGTTGACCCTAGCGCATCTATAATATAATGAATGAAATATATTAGTGTGACTATAATAGCGCCAAACACAAATTTCAGGTTTGTTTGTCATGTTTAGCCACTTCGTTCAACAGAGTCGTTCTATCAATAAGCATTCCTTAGGTTAGTTAACCTTCAAAAGTTCATCAATATTAGTATTAGTTAAAGAGGTGTGAACGGAATGTACAGCTGCTTCACAGCCACCGTTGGTTTCAAAACGAAAAGGCTTAAATTTGAAAGTTAAGCCTTGGAAAGTAGTACTAATACCAATAGGACGAATACCGTTATCATTTTTCAGGCACACAATCTTGCCTCATTCAGAAATTACCTTTAAAGAAAGCATTAAGTTGCATAGTTTTCTAAAGTTACTAATATGTGGTATGTCAGCATCACTGGTGAAAGCGCTTTCAAGATCTTTTAAATGTCGTGCGTGGCATTATTAATGCCGGCAGCAGAGTGTCTTGAAAATTATATAATTGCGTCGTAAAGTGTCCTTATCGGGGATTTGCGGATTTGTTTTTTATTGAAAAAAGCTGCCAAGCGTGCGGGCGTTTCACCTGATATTAAGTGAATACCCATAGACATCTCCTACACCCGAGGGCTGTAGATGCGTTGATAACCTTTTGAAAATTGGGCTGCGGCTACCTCACTTAGCAGACGAAACGCGAAAGTATTATACTTCCACTTGACGCTGGTCTTCTGTAGCGTTGTGGTACTTACCCGGACGAGCCAAAACGAGTTAAACGATATACATTAATTAAATAAACAAATATTTTTAAAAAACATTTTTACACAACGTTCTCTAGGTCCAAACTAAGTAATAATTGTAATATGGGTACTAGATAATAAATTAGTATTATTAAGTTTATTTTTATTTATAAACCCAACCAGACGAGAAAACAAATAAATATCCCACCATAATAATATTAAACATATATAAACGCCCAGACCCTAAGAAAACAATATATTCATCACACAATATTTTTCCAGTAGTAGGGATCGGACCTACATCCTCTGGCACAAGAGGTAGGTTTACTACCCACTATGCCAATCGGGTTGTCGATGTAAAAATATAATGGATCTGTTCTTCTTTGCGTTATTTCATATATGTAGTATATCAATGTCATGTAATATTGCGGATATTGGCCTATTTTTCCTTTCGAAAACAACGTGTATTCAACGTTGAATACGTTTTTTCTAAGCTATAAAAAGTATAGCATTTATCCTGGGTTACATACTGCTTCCCATCAGCGGGGAATAGTCAAATACCAAGTTGGTAAGAAAGTATATCAATACGACTTAATTTCTCGCTAGATTTATATAACACTAGCGTAACGTAAAATCCGTTCTTAGCTGACCTCTACTCGGCGAAAGGAATATTCCTACCAAGTTTCAAGTCCCTATGCCTTATGGTTCCATATATATAGAGATCTTAATGTGGAAGGAATGGGCAGGCTCGTCCGGGTAAGTACCACGACCGCACAGAAGACCAGCGCAGAGTGGAAGTATGACAAATACTTTCGCGTTTCGTCTGGTGAGTGAGGTAGCCGGAGCCCAATTTTCAAAAGGTTGTCAACCCATCTGTAACCCTCGGGTGTAGCAGATGTCCATGGGCGGCGGTATTCACTTAACATCAGGTGAACCGTCTGCTCGCTTGGCAACTTTTCACATAAAAAAAAGATCAGAACGCTTAACGGAGCCAACAGTTCAGGTACGCAACACCATGGGAACTGCTGCTGCTGGTGGTTGGCGTGATCCTGGCGACACTGAACGGGCTCTTCGTTCCGATCGGCGTGATCATTTACGGCGAGTTCACGGCCCTCCTCATAGACCGCACAGTGATGGTTGGCACTTCGAATCCAACCATCACCATAGCTATGTTCGGTGGCGGTAGAGTGTTGTGAGTATTCAATGATTTCTCGACTTTAACAACGATTAGTCTTGTTTGTTTATTTTTATTTAAAAAAAAAACATTGCTCTTACTGTTAGTTATGATAAGCCCGTATTGTAAGGAAGATTTACAAAAAACAAATTACACGTGGACAAACACTCAGCTAAAACCCTTGGCTATTGCATAACGGAGCCATCAAGAAAGAAAGAACGATTTGAATGAATATCACTTTGCTTTATCGTTAAAAATATTATAAATAGTATACCTGGCCGTTAGGTCAAAGCACAACCGTCTTTTTTGTCATTGGCTAGGAATTACTTTATAGGACAAATGCTAGTGCTGAAGAGAACCGGATAGCCTTGATCGAGGACTCGCAAGCCTTCGGCATCGGATGTACGGTGTTCTCAGTCATCCAGTTCATATGCGGCGCCGTCAGTGTCGACCTCTTCAATTACGCAGCGCTCAAACAGGTTAAAACTGCAGTTATCTAATAAATAGGATAAGAATAGTTATGTCTTTAATTATGTAGGTATCTAATCCACCTAAATTGTGTAAAAAAGTAAAGAGAATGACTTTATGCTCAGATCAGAGATACACAGCTTGGCACCGACTCCAAAAATTGTTAAATTTTATAGAGGTGAGGTAGGTTAGGTTACGTCGCTTAGATTTACAAGATTTTATCATATTGGATTTAGTATTATTACAATTTTTTTAGTGCTAACGGAGTTTTTTGGAGTCGGTTGTTTATTTTGTTAAAAAGCTTTTTTACATACGTAGATTTCACGTGGACATACACTCAGATCTGATACAATTATCTATCGGCCACCCAAATAGGTGTCTCGTGTGGGAATCGAACCCACGATTCCGGGCGACGAATTCAATACATTGGCAACTGCGCCACAGAGTCATCAAATTGTCCACGTGTTTCAATTAGAAGAAAGACTCGATTGTTTACTTCATTGTAAATAGTAATGTAAAATTTCTTGAACATTACGCTAAGTTTAACCGATTCTGACCCTATAATCTGCATTCAGTCGTCTCACAATGATATACATAACATGTATCTATGTCACACTTGTGTAAGTCGAGAACTGTAATACAATGAATAATTACTATTGTCACAACATTGGCACGACACTAGGTGTCATGCTGTCTCTACTATTTAGACGGCTAGTTCAGCGTCAAGGGTGATATTTATATCTTAGAAACTTATATCAGGCACGTATTCATTCAAATACTTACAAGCATCGCGTCGCGAATATTTTGATACAAACTTTCAAATATGAAATATGAAACTTTTATAGTGTTCAAATATCTAATTATATATGCTATGCTTATGTGAATGTCCCCTCGAATTGAGTAAAATGACATTAGTGAGTAATATTATTCTAGGAGGGAAATTCTTATTGCCAATCTTTATTTCGTTTGTTCTACTTCCACAGAAGCAGAGATAATAATGTTGCCACGTATTTACGAGACAATTTTAGTGTTATAGGTAATACACGGAACAAAAGCGTCAAACTGAGTTTTGCTTAGAAATAATAAAACTTGACGAAGAAAAATTGATTAGGGCAAAGCATACTTTTGCAAACAGTTGTTATCAATTTGAAAGAGCAGTATAAAACTTATTTTTAAAGCTTCTTTTTTATACCTCTACCAGAAACGATGATCTTAATAGAATTTCTATCAACTCATTTAATACTCATAAATGTAGATACTGGGTTTGCGTGTTTCTAACGCCTATTATAATTGATTGTATTTATTACGTTTATGGCCCCGCAAAAACATTTTAATAACCGGAAACTGTATATTTTCATAGATCGATAGAGTAAAAGAGAAGTTCCTGCAAGCGGTTCTCCGGCAAGATATCACATGGTACGACCTAAATACAACCATGAACTTCGCTACCAAGGTGTCTGAGTAAGTTAACTTACTATTCAAGTTAAATCAACACGTGCCCTTCACTGCTGCTATCAGATATCATGATTTTCTTCTCGTCTCTACATTTTGCACATATATGCATATTTCAAGAACTATTTATTAAAATACGTAAAATGTACAAAAACATTCTTAATAACGAACAAAACATTCTTAGTAAAAAATAACCAAAAATATTCTTCAGTCTTTTCATCATCAAACCATCCACTGCCGAACATAGGCCTCTCCCACAGATTGCCATATAACATGATCCGGAGCCATCAGAATCCATCGACCCCCGCAGATAGATCACGGCTGTCTTTTTTGATCAAATCAAATCAAATACCTCTATTCAAAATAGAACATATAATTAGAACATATAACAACATACATTATACTTTCTTATTGATTGTCAAAACCCTACCACCGGTTCGAAAAGAAAAGCCACTGACCTGAGAAGAATCGGGGAAAGAAACTCAGCGGGACATTCTTTTTTTTATACCATTGTTTATCAAAATAAAGAAATGTTTACAAATGTATTAAAGTCAACTTGAAATTCGATCGAATACGATCACTCCATTTCCATGGTGTGTTATCATTTAATATATTTATTGATTTTTTATTTTTATTTTTAGTGCTAGTCGCTGCACTTAAATGAAACTCAAAATGTTTAGATAAATTTTTGAAAAAATTTTCACAGCTGCGCCTTCAGGGTAACGCGTAGATATCCTCACCACCGGAAACGTTTTTAGGTCTTATAGTAATTAATGTTTTACAAAATATATAGATATTTAAGAGTGTGCGTTTCGGGCACTACAGACTATTTTATAGTTTTAACTAGCAAACTTGTGTGTGCACAGTGACGTGGAAAAGTATCGCGAGGGAATTGGCGAGAAGGTTGCGATGTTCGTGTACCTGGTGATGTCCTTCGTGACCGCCGTCATCATCTCGTTGGTGTACGGATGGGAGCTCACGCTGGTCATTCTGTCGTGCGCGCCAATCATCATTGCCACAACAGCTGTCGTTGCGAAGGTAGTCATCACACTTGCTTTCAGTAAGCCCTAAAGAGCCGTGTACATGGCGTCTGTTCATTCTTTCGTTAACAAAGGCAGTTTTTCTAGAGCAAACATCCTGTTTTAATAATTATTTTTTCCCACAGGTACAATCATCACTGACCACACAAGAGCTAAAAGCGTACAGCATCGCTGGCGTCATTGCCGAAGAAGTCTTGTCCTCTATTCGAACAGTGGTCGCTTTTGGCGGGGAAGAAAAAGAAATAGAAAGGTAGCACTGAAATAAAATTTAATTCCTCCACCTTGAATCCTACCGTTTCTACCATCATTACCGAAAAACTAAACACTTGGCGGACCACAACACTTATGGTATCGAAGGAAGACGATTATGTTTATGTTTATGTTTATGTTGTAACTGTAGTTAGCGTTTATGAGCACATGCGTGCATTAACAAAGTGGAAGACGATAAGCAGAGTAGTGGAACAACTTGCCACACACTCCATTCACCGTTGCCATTTTATTATGAAGACAACATTCCACTTAGGATTACAAGTGAGATAGCGTTATTAAACACTAGTTAGCTTAAAGATTATTTTTATGTACAGAATTTACATCATGGATTACTGAATTTACATGAATTTACATGTACAATTTACATCATTTAGATCAAAACAGGTAATAAGTATATGTTCAAAAAATCAATTCGAGAATACTTGTTAAATGATTGAATTTGTATCACTTAGTCCATTTGTGTTTTTATTATCCGTATATGTATTTATTTATGTATTTATTTCTATATATATATAAATAAATATATATATATATATATATATATATATATATATATCTATATATTTATTTATGTACATATATGTTACATTTTATGGCACATTTATTAACTTAAATTTTTATAGTTTCATTTAGCACCTACCATCTACTTTTCACCATGACAAGGGTTGACTGGTAGAGAATGCCATTAGGCATTAAGTCCGCCCATTGTAGCCTTTAGCTTAAGGTTTAACAATGAACCTTAGATAAATAAATAAATAAATCATGACAATAAGTCATTAACCAGTTCTGCGTAAGTGTCTCTGAAGACTGAAAGGTATTAGGCGACGCATTGTCAAATACATTCCCCATTCTAGAGACAGACTTATATAATCGAACGAATTCTGAATAAATACAATTTTTTTTTATGTGAAAAGTTGCCAAACGAGCAGACGGTTCACCGGATGGTAAGTGAATATCGCCGCCCATGGACATCTGCTACACCCGAGGGTTACAGATGCGTTGACAACCTTTTGAAGATTGGGCTCCGGCTACCTCACTCACCAGACGAAACGCGAAAGTATTTGTCATACTTCCACTTTACGCCGGTCTTCTGTGAGGTCGTGGTACTTACCCGGACGGGCCTGTCCATTCGTGCAACAACCAAAGGCTGCTGCGTGGCCCTACCACCGTTACACCACAAGAAAAACAAATATACTATGTTCCACGCATTTTCTTAATTACAGATATTCGGTACGCCTAGATCCCGCTAAGAAGACCGGCACGAGGAAGGGAGTGTATTCCGGGATGGGTAGTGGGTTTATGTGGCTAATCATATATATGACGTATGCACTTTCGTTCTGGTACGGTGTTGGACTTATTCTTGACGGTAGACATGAAGTGGTCCCTGTTTATACGCCGGCCGTATTGATGATTGTAAGTATATTTGTATTGCATTAGGCAAGTAGTAGTTGTAGTTTAACCTTATGTTGTTGAGTCTGTAAAGTCTGTGCAGTATTTATTTTAACCGATTTATGTCAGTGGGGATAAAGGTTACCAAGTACCTAAGTACATTACAGTATTTGTACATAAATATATTATAATATAAAGTAAAAGTAAAGTATCAGCCTATACATGTCCCACTGCTGGGCAAAGGCCTCCTCTGTACAGAGGGTATCAGAGCATAGTCCACCACGCGGCCCACTGCGGATTGGCGAACTTCACATATCTTCGTAATATTTTTTTTTCTGTATCAAGGACGCAGAAAGATTTATAATCAAATGGGCGTGTTCAAGGAAATAAAACAAAAAAATGTGATTTTTGATTAAATTCTCAAAATAAATATTTAGTCACGTATCTGAGAAGATGACAATTTAATTTATAAAATATATTAATCAAATATTATTGTAATATTTTAATTATTCAGGGCTATCAGCACCCTTAAAAGCCTTTGCTACGCACATGCTATCATATTGTTTTCTTTTTATTACTTTGATGTTTTCAATGTAATTATCTATTTATTATCAAATTTTTCAACAGATTTTCTTCAGTGTACTGCAAGGAGCCCAGAATGTAGGCCTGACATCGCCTCACATCGAGGCTATGGCGAGTGCTAGAGCATCTGCTGCCGTGATCTTTAAAGTTATAGACCGAAAGCCAGTCATAGACAGTTTATCTACGGAAGGAAGCAAACCAATACTCGACGGGCAGCTGGAACTAAAGGATGTATACTTCCGATACCCAGCACGACCCGATGTTCAGGTAAAATGAATTTTATTTTAACTCTTTACCGCTTTTACTCAATTAAAGAATGATTTATCTAAGGATTAGCAAATCTTACATGTATATAGGAATATACTGTGATATACTTAGAGTTCAGGTTATAACTACATGAATATTATTAGAGATCATAATCAAGCTATATTAAATTAACCATAAGACTATATGAAACTAATTTACTCGACTGAAACTGGTGTTATTTCTGTTAATCCATTCAAAGATACATTGATGAACATGAACACCATATTTTTTTATGTGAACTGAATAATTGTAACTATGCTATTGAAAACTACATTCTTTTAAAATGTATTTGAAACATAACGACTTCTGGTGTTGTATGAACTAGTCGCAGAGACCGAAAAGTACTACGGGCTCAATATATTAAGATCGGCAACCGTAATGCTTTTGATTTTGAATCTACTAAGAGAGCTAAGCAAAGGTCAGCATCACTAATAACCTACAAGTGCCATTAAAAAGATCAGTTTCCGTTGAATCTTAAAGATCAATCCTCCTACTTGTCCGATCACAAGTATCACGTATAATAATTGACACAGTCAAAATTCAGGTGTTGAACGGGCTGTCACTGAAGATCAACCGGAACGAGACGGTGGCACTGGTGGGCCCGAGCGGCTGCGGCAAGTCGACGGTGCTTCAGCTGCTGCAGAGGATGTACGACCCGGAGTCGGGCGCCGTGCTCGCCTCCTCGAACGATCTGCGCGGCCTGAACGTGCGCCATCTGCGGAACCACATCGCCGTGGTCGGTCAAGAGCCGGTGCTCTTCGCGGGCTCCATAAAGGAGAACATTCGGTGAGTGTTATTATACTGTCTATACCGTCTTTATTGTCTATACTGTCTATGGTCTATGGTTCGTCTATCGTGCTATATTCATTTATTGTCGCGATGGTAACGACACGCTGTATTATGCTGTCTACGGGCATGAAACTTTCAAGCCATCCAGGTGAACTGTTTCGTCTATCGTGCAATTTATCATACTTTCTACGAGCATCCAACCTTCAAGCCAGTCATAACTGTTTCGTCTAATGTGCAATCACTTAGTGATCCCTGTTCTATGGAGGTAGTCCTGTTATATGGAATCGAAACGATTTTGTTAGGATTTGGATATCATAGTGCTTTCAAATGATTAGAGGTAGTTAACTACTAACGAAAGGAAACCGTGATGTTTCACCGATCTTACTAGCAACATACTCGTAGATGAATCTTCTGATTTTATACGTCTCTGATTATTATTGCCAGGCGTCCTGCAATTATAGGAGCGACCATAATTCACTGTGGTAATACATACAATAAGAACAATCAATAAAATGCAATATTTATTATATTTTCTAAAATATGTGAATTACGCGGTTCGCTGCGGCGTTCATAATTGTATTAATTTTGGTTAACCATAATATTATTTTATGTTCACGCGAGCGCTATACTATACTAAATTAAATTAAATTACTATTACTAAATTAAACCTTATTTTTAATTTTAATTCCCGAGGCTTCTTTCAATCATTCATAATGACGGAAGACGTTATCAAACTGTAAAAATAATTTAAATATATAAATCATATAATTTTTTCAGATTAAGTAATCCAAAATGCACGGATGAAGAAATAATTATAGCTGCGAAACAGGCTTACTGTCACCACTTCATAAAAAATTTACCTGAAGTAAGTTTTTTAAAACAAAACAAAATTTTTTATTACGTTTTAAAAGCACTTCACAATTTTAATATTTTACTAATATTTAAATTGTGAAGTTACCTAGTCGATAGTTTAACACATTAGTGTTCCATACTTAATTACTATTTGACACAGTTATTAGCAGAACAGCTATTATATTTAAGGATTAAAATAAAATATTTGAATGTGTAACACAAACTCTGTTCAGCTCACTTTTTTCACAAACCCATCATCACTGGTGCGGCAGTCACATAAAAGGTTAGACGCAGTAGGCAAAATGTATTGCAATCCCATTGCATGCTCTTAAATTTAATCCAGTAATCTTTTTTTACTTCTCTTAGTAGTATTAGTTTAATTAGTTAACTTTCTTGACGCACGGGACCTCTCTTTCGCGAACTAAAAAGCACGAATAAACTGTACAGGGCTACGACACGATGATAGGGGAGAGGGGCGCCCAGCTTTCTGGTGGGCAGAAGCAGCGCATCGCGATCGCACGCGCCCTAGTGCGCCGCCCAAAGATCCTGCTTTTAGACGAGGCCACTTCGGCGCTCGATTCACACAGCGAGGCCAAGGTGCAGAGAGCCCTCGACGCCGCCGCCCACGGCAGAACCACCGTCATGGTGAGCCACAGGTATACTGCACTCGGTTGTCTCTTCCACCGCACCATCATTATTCGTGCTAATAATAGGCCGTGGCTCGTTATGGTATGTCACGCAGCAGTCTTTGTTGTAGCACGAATGGGCAGCCTCGTCCGGGGAAGCACCACGATCTCATAGAACAAGGGCATGAAGTGAAAGTGTGTTACTTTTGCTTTTCGTCTGGTGAATGAGGTAACCTAGAAATTAAAAGTGGCAACGCATCTGTAACCCTACGGGTGTTGTAGATGTCCATCATCATGTCCAGTTATCATCAGGTTAACTGCCAGCTCTCTTGCCACTTTCTCTGATAAAAAAAAAAGTATTTTGACGAATCTGATCCCCAATTTTTACTATACATGAATTACTGGATAGAGGATTAACTTGCTTCTAGAGCCTTTCCACAGAGTATGTCTGTTATTATTCTCTGAAGTTTTTTTTTAATATTCTTCATTTATAATATGATTTTTCATAACTAAAATATTATTTCCAATTTAATTATAGCTTACCGGTATTAAATGTCCCTAAGAGTACAGCGTTATATAAATATATATAACACAGTTATATTTGCTGTATTCGCTATTAGTTTTGTCATTATTAACCGTAGTAACCGTAGTAAGAATAATATTCTTCGATTATATTATAATGATATAATAAATATAAAATGTCAATGAGTATACTGTTTTTTACTATTGTCATAATAAAAATTCTTTCAGGGGTATTTTGCTTTGTGTAATTAGTTTATTAACAATGCAAAATTTTACCCAGGTTGGCCACAGTTCTCAACGCAAATCGTATTGTCTTCATTGAAAAGGGCGAAGTTATAGAAGAGGGAACCCATGAAGAGTTGATGGCACAAAGGGGGCGATACTATCAACTCGTGCTAGAAAATGAGCCTAGTATCGCGCCAAATGCGGATAATTCGGCAGACAATACGGACAAACCCAAACGTAAGCTCTATACTAGTATTAAATTTATGTACACCAATTTGTCTTGAGGTTTGTTTGTACAGTTTTGAATTTTAAGAACAGTAATTATTCCTACGACAACAATGCTAGGTAAAAACTAATCAGACGTGTGGATTCTATAAAAAAAATAATGACAACTAGTGGTACGCTATTGTGACTTACATACGGTTTCAATATTCAATCTAAAGATAAATTTGGTTATTGGAGATAAAATTTTGACGTAAGTATTATGGACCTAATGTGAAATACCTATCACTAGTAACCAAATCTATCTATAGATAGAATATTAAAACCGGCCGTTAAACGTATCATTTATCTGTTTTTAGATACAAGAATAGCGCGGCCGATGTTACAAAAGTTGGCTTCGATCGATTCAATAAAAAGCAACACCGCCTCAGAGGATTCGGGCTCCGAAGACAGCGTGGTGATGGATGAGAAGAAGGAAGAAGAATTCAAACCGACCACGTGGCAGATTATGAAACTCTGCGAGCCTGAGAAGTGGCTGATGGTGGGAGGTGTGATCGCGGCTATTGCCGTAGGATCCTCTTTCCCATGTTTCGCAATATTGTTTGGTGAAACGTACGGTGTATGTAGATTTTTTTTATTTCTAATGAGCTCTTTAAAAAATATAAAATATTTAAATACAAAATTTAAAATAGCCCCAACGCCCTGTTTATTCTTAACTGGTTCAATAATCTTAACGGTTAGGTAGAGATAGATATCAATTTTGTGCTGTGGATTTTTTAATAAACATATACATTAACATATTCAAAATACGTTTAAGATATTCAAGGAAAACACAAAGGTTTATAATACCGTCTAGGATTGATTAACTCCGTTTCGGGTAGGAAATGGTCTACCTTTTCATTAACTTCTTATCTTAACTTGTGCTGGTAAAGAGCCGTGACAGCTCAATTTTAAGTGCTGAATTATCAGGTGCTCAGCGGGGAAGGAAAAAATCGTAAGGAAAACTGAATATTTTAACTAAAAAAAAAAAACGACTATGAATTAATCTTCGTTAATGTTTCTTATAATACGCATTGATAACCATAAAAAATATCTTTTTTAACAGCTTTTGGAGAACCCAGACGAAGAGTTCGTGCGCACAGGGACAAACATAATTGCAATACTGTTCTTAGTGGTAGGCGTATTTACTGGCATCGGCATATTCTTCCAGATATTCATCTTCAATTTAACTGGCGTCCGATTGACAGCCCGTTTGAGGTTCGTGCTATTAGCCAGATTAAGGAACTATAAGTTTTTTTTTTAATTCCAAATTAGTTTAATTATTTTCACTTGCTTCGCTACGGTCAATAATGTCATAACTATATACTTTTCAATCATCCTTCTTATCTCTTAGTGTGTTTAAGAAGTAAAACAAAAATAATTTACTTAATAATTAAAACTAAATGAAAGCTTAAAACACATTTTAAGAATTTTAATAGACACTGAAACAACAGAGTGTAGTACGTATGTCTGCATGGAACCATGTGGCTTTGGCGTGGCGTGGTCTTGTCACTACCGTGAGTATGATGATTTTACATTTTAGGGTCGGTGCCTTCAGAGCCATGCTGCAGCAGGAAATAGGTTGGTTCGATGATCCAGTAAACGGTATCGGAGCTCTTTGCTCAAGACTGGCTGCTGATGCTGCAGCGGTACAAGGTGTAAGTATTATGACTCAAAAGTTTCGTATTCAATACTTCATAGTCTTTAAAAGAATCTTAAGGGCTACACAAATATTAGGTACAAAATTAACGTGCAATCACAACGCTTTAAATTAACTTGGGCTATGGACTATTCTAATCAATGATTTTGTAATGGTTAGTAATAGAAAGCGGCGGATGCCTCCAAAAGACCTAAATTATTAATTTAAAGGTTTATATTGATCGCCTCGCTTATCTTGTAAGTTCAAAGTCTGTAGGTATGTAACGAAGGATAATTGACTGAAGATTAACACTATGTACTAGGCACTATGGGAATTATTAGTTATTTAATTAACTTTATTACTAACTGAACAGAAAATAAACGAAGAGAAATGGTCTCGTAATCTCTATTAACATTGGATATTCAAATCTATGGAGTCGCGTAGCAGAGGAATATTTTTTTGTGCATTTTTTAAGCGACTTGAATAAAAGATGTAGTTTAAATTCGGTTGTGTTTTTTTGTTTTTTACCTCGAAACTCCGTCATTTGTCAACCGATTTTAAGATGCATTGAGTTCGGCTTAGTTCCCATATTAATTTCATTGGGATTGGACCATGAACTCCGGTGATATATCAGAGGACTCCTCAAAGTCAAATAGAAAATGTATAATGAGTGAAATATTTGAAGACTGTACCATTTTTGTCACACATTATGTTATGTAAATTAATATTTTTCTTCAGGCTACTGGTACCAGAATTGGCGCCCTCATGCAAGCCTCAGCCACCATCATCATTGGCATCGTACTCTCCATGTACTATACGTGGCAGATGACCCTGGTCTCACTCATATCGGTACCCATGGTGATCGGTGCTGTAGTGCTCGAGGGTCGTGTCCTGGCAGAAGGCATCTCCACAGTACGGGAGGCTTCTAACAGGGCCACTACAATAGCTACGGAAGCTATTACAAATATTCGAACTGTATCAGCTTTTTGTGAGTACCTTGCAGAATAAATAATACATGCTTATTGAATGTGAATCAATCAATTTCATTATTGGGGTTTAGTATTCCAGTGTATTCACGTATATTCATACCATATTTCAGAACAGATTTTTACACCACGTTATTTAGTCAGAAACTGAGCAGAGCTTGTTTGGGACTAAATAACTATGTTCATCACAATTTTTATTCCGTGGAGATCGAACAACACAATATCTGGCATTAGAGAATGATTCTCGATTTGCTAAGCCGTTTGAGTTGATATAAATACTTTTAATTAATTAAAACGACCGTTGTTTAAATCTAAATTCACCTGTTATTCACTTTACCTTGAAAACACATTGCATTTCGATCTGGTTGCTGTTCTTAAATTGCTTGCCATTTTATCTGCTTCATCATCATCATTACAGTCTGTTTGAGTCCACTGCTAAACATAGGTAGTCTGTGGGCGAACTGCCGCGAAGTACGATCCTGAGCCACCTGAATCTATCGACTTCCTGCAGGTTTATCTGGTTGTTGTTCCCAAATTCACTGACGTCCTGTATTGGTAGGTGGAGAGGAGGGCGTGCTGACCCGTTATAGGGAAGCTGGCGTCAGTGCGGTGGCGACGGCGCGACGCAGTATGAGGTGGCGCGGCTCGGTGTTCTCGTTTGGGCAGACAGCGCCGGTTGCGGGCTACGCCCTTTCCCTTTGGTACGGCGGCGTGCTCGTTGCCAACAAGGAAGTGCACTACAAGTCTGTCATCAAGTAGGTTCAGCAAAGTAATATGGAAAATAGATCTACTTGTTTCAGTTACCCAGTGTTATGTACACCCAGATATTGCGTCGATTTAACAGTAATACCTTGTACTCCTTTATGTTATTGATATTCTTTAATATAGTCCACCCTCTCACCCCTTTGTCTTTTGCCTCTTTAAAACAAGGACAGTTGCTAATTTGATTTGCGCGGATCGTGGGTTCGAGTTCCAAATGAGACAGCTATGTTTGTGGGCAAGAGATAACTGGTTTGGATCTGGATATTTGTTTCCCAGGATGTATAGACCACTAACAATATATTTTACCTTAAATCTAAGCGGATGTTGTTTATGACTCGTTAAGGACATCAGATAGTAGTGTCATACTGTCGGGAGACGTCGATTTACTATCCGTCTACTCGAATTCCAGGGGCGTGTCAAAGTTTTATAGCGTCGGATTTCTTTCAGAAATCCTGGTAAAGCTATAGAATCATCACCAATGCCACTTTCAGACTTTAACATATTCAGTGCAAGTTATATACCCTTAAAAGATACCCGTACAATCTACAAAATTTACAAGACGTATGAGCTCTGCTACATTATGAAACAGAGTATCGGAAGCACTGATCTTCGGCGCTTGGATGATGGGACAGGCGCTTGCATTCGCGCCCAACTTCGGGGCGGCCGTGCTAGCAGCTGGAAGAGTCATGACGCTATTAGCGCGGCAGCCACGGGTGAGCAGCGCGCATGCGCCCTCTGTTCCCGAAAACTATGTGAGTACAATTAAAGTCTACTCTTTTAAAGAATTACGACTTAGTTTAATACTTTTTTCATACCCTTTATTTGCATTTTCTGTAAATATTTTACCACTAAAATTAAGCCTTCCCAAAAGTATGCCAGTACTTGGTATTTCTCAGCAAGTTTGGATTTGTAAATGAGACAACTTCTGAAAAACAAGACTTATAAACATAGCCTTGGGAATCAATAAGCTACTGGGTCGTCTCTGTAGCAGAAGCTCTAACCAATCAGAATATACGGCCTCTACTAGTTAGAAACATGTCCTAACTAAAAATATCTGAATGGATCAAGATGAAGTCGTTTTTTAATTTCAAATGCACATTAAATTGTGCGTGCTTAAAGATCTTTAAAAATATTGTAATAAGAAGTGTATTTCATGGAAGATTTTTTCACTCATTAGGTCGCAAATGGCAAGATTCAATACAAGAACGTTAAGTTCCGCTACCCGACACGGCGAGAGGTTGAAGTACTGCGTGGCCTGTCGCTAATTATACCAAGTGGAAAGCGAATTGCCCTCGTGGGTCCAAGTGGTTGTGGCAAGTCCACATTGATACAGCTACTGCAAAGGCTATATGATCCAGACGACGGATATGTGGTGAGTTGGCATGACGGCTTTGTGATTTGAGAACTAACTCCAATTATATCATAATTGCTGAATAAGTATCTTATCCATATGTAAGTAATTAAGAGTTGTGCAGAAACGTTGACAAGTTAGCAAGTGGTTAACCTTTTAAATGATTACCGCCGTCTAAAATATCTACAATATGCAACAGTTTCCACTGTTACACCAATGGGCAGGTCCGTCCGGGTATGTACCACGAACGCACTGAAGGACTGACGTAAAGTAGAAGTGTTACACTTCTGCATTTTGCTTTCTTTTGCGTCAGGTGAATGAGAGAGAATGTAGCGGGGGCCCACTTTATTAATAGGTGGCAACGCATTTGCAGCCCGGGTGTTGCAAATGGCCATGGGCGGCGGTTGTCACTTAACATCAGGTGAATCGCCAGCTTGGTTGCCACATTAAAAACAAAGACAATAGTTCAAGGAGTCTAAAGTATACATATAACGTTATTGTAACTACAAAACGTAATGTTAATGCCCATTTTCGTTTACAGTATTTAGACGACAACAGCATAACGGGTGACATGCGGCTGTCTACGCTAAGGAAGAATCTGGGCATCGTGTCTCAAGAGCCCGTCCTCTTCGACCGCACCATAGCTGAGAATATCGCTTACGGCGATAACACCAGGGACGTACCAATGGAGGAGATTGTGAAAGCGGCAAAAGCTGCCAATGTGCATACTTTTGTTGCCGCCCTACCCACTGTAAGGATTAATTTTGTCTTTAATAAATATCATCTAAGATAAAAAAAAACGTGTTTGTACTTAGGTACACAGGAAGAGAAGTTATACTTCTTAAGAGTAACAAAATAAAATTGACTAAAAAAATATCTCTATTATTGTAGGTAAATTAATTAAATAACCACGAATTTTAGGTAAGTATCAAAAAATTGTTATTGGTTGTCAAGGTGTACCGTGAAATTGGTTGAAGTTGTATGCGTTGCAACCAACTTCGTCATGTCGTTTTTTGGCTGTGTGCGCGCGCATCTAAAAATTTTACTCTCACAATTTTTCCGAATAGCGCCAAAAGATATATAACTTCATTATCCTCGCAATAAGGCGAAGATTAACGAATGCCGCTCGAATTTGAATCTGTTGCATAGAAGATTACATTATATAATTTTACTCTTGATAAACTTTCATTCATCTTGAAATAAGGGCTACGACACACGGATCGGGGCGCGCGCGTCTCAGCTTTCCGGAGGGCAGAAGCAACGGATCGCCATCGCGCGAGCGCTTGTGCGCAACCCGCGCGTCCTCCTGCTCGACGAGGCCACTTCAGCCCTCGACACGCATAGTGAAAAGGTATCGTAGTACACGATAATATTGATGACAATCATCACCATCATTTCAGCCCGTTTGAATCCACTGCTGAACATAAGCCTCTCCTTCATACTGCCATGAACTACATCGACTTCTCGCACACTTGTACAGGTCGTCACTCCATCTAGTGGGAAGTTATCCTACACCATTTACAATATATGCTTTATTGACCAGAACAAAACAATGTTAAAACTTATTTAGAATACAATAGAACCATTACAGTCAGCAGCAAATAAAGCAATTTCGTTCAAGCAACCGTTGTATGGCAAAATGTATATTAAATCAAGTGTATAAATGTACATATTTAGTTAAAACGAAATCTACTCTTGCTACTTTCAGTTTACATTTATAGTTTCACAATAAAAAGAATAAACAGTCACTTTTCAATCTGATTTCGTGAAATACGAAGAATATTATATTTCAGAGAATACTCTAAGGTAGGACGATCGACTAACTGATATGAAAAGTATTATAATGGGACTTGTCTACTTAGGTGGTACAAGAGGCCCTGGACCGGGCCAGTGAGGGCCGCACCTGTCTGATAATCGCCCACCGCCTGGCCACAATCCAGAATGCGGACATCATCTGCGTCATAGACAAGGGGGTGATCGCAGAGATGGGCACGCATATGGAGCTCATCGCCAAGAAAGGAATCTACGCACGGCTATACGAGCTGCAATGCGGCTTCGTGGAGGAAACAGAGGAAAATGTCGAAAGTGCAGCCGCATAATAGACCTTCTACTGGCGCTGTGTGCGCAAGTCCAGGCTTTAACCAACAATAGACATAGTAAAAACGTTATGATGATTTAGGGAAGTATAGTTCATGCTTATCGCTATTAACCGCTTGCAACACCATCCTGACCGCGTTTATAGTTGCCATCTCCACCTTAATATAAAACAATCTATAAATATAAAAATTAGCGATACAAGTCTTCTAGCATTTAAGTACCAATTTTTTTTCAACTCTCAAAATCTCGCAAACGCAAACAAACCATACTGACAAAATATATTCCGAAGTAAAGAGTATCTATTTACGGTATAATTTGCACACTCATGATCCAGTTTATCATCTCATTAAGAACATTATTTTTATAAAAAGTAAAAAAAAAAATATTTTTATATTAAAGAATAACCAATATACCTTTGTTTCAAATTCATATTACTTTTATATAATTTATGCGAAAAGTAGAATCATAAATCCCTACATTATCCAGTGTGCAATACGCTTACAATTTACAAAGTATAAAGATTAAAACACACAGTCATGAGAATTATTTGTCGGTCATAAAAATATTAATTTCAATGTTGGAAAAAATCAAATCGCCTGTGGCAAAGGCAGGTTTATCTGAGTTGTCTTGTCCTAAAACGCTCTTGTCATCTTCGATCGCACTGGTGAACCTTTTCGCTGTATCTACGCGTATCCTAGGGAAACCTTCAGCTTTTATAAGAACCATGCTCCTCTATGGCAACACGTTACATCAAGGCCCTTAAAAATATAGATTACACAAGTACCCGCATTTTGCTTCCATCGTTTCCCTTTAAAAGTTTTATAATGATGACCAAAACATTTGTTATTCTTCTGTTACGATTGGACATAATTGTATGTTCTTCATTTTTAGTCCCACCTCACTAAATTAAACGAGATATATATTGAGTACCTTAATAGTATAGTAAAATTTTAATAGGATTTTGTAACATTATTGGATGTGTTATTTTCTACATTCCCCATTTAACCCATACCCTGACATTCCCTTTAAAAGACGAATCATTTGTGTACTAAATATAATCCTTGTAGCTTTTTCAAAAGAACTTTACTCAATTATATTTTATTAACTTACAAATATACGTAGATTCACTTAAGTAGTTATAAAGTTAGATACAAGTGGTAGACTAACTAACACCTGATTCGTTTTGAGATTAGCCTAATTTAAGTTCTGTTTTTCACTCTTTACACACGGGGTCTTTAAACGTAGGAATCGTGCGGAAAGCATTTCGCTCTCTGTTCCACTCATGGGTCTTATGACATTGCTGTGGTATCGACATTAAAGAATTTGGTGATATTACTTGAGTAAATACTAAAATATTATTACATAATTTATTATTATTACATAATGTTTTAGAATTAACTCAAATAATATTATAAACAACATGCAAATAAAATTATGTGTAAAAATAATATATGTATATTAAAATAAGAATAATAAGATGAAATTAAAAAATATACAGCGTCTAAAAAAATATATAGAACCGCGACAGTAAATGAACACAAATATAAAGGATAACGTTTTAAAATTGTATTAAGCATTTACTTTCTTTAAACATCAATAAATAAATAAATAAATAAATAATATTTAGGACACATTTTTACACAACGTTCTCTAGTCCCAAATCTAGTACTAGATAACTGATAAACATACTTGAACATACTTTTCTTTTGTAAATAACCACATATTATAGATATATAAACACCCAGACACTAGAAAAACACTATGCTCATCACACGATATTTTCCAGTAGTGAGGATCGAACCCACACCCTCTGGCGCAGAAGGCAGGTACACTACCCACTACGCCATTCGGGTCGTCGGTCATCAATATTTACAGTTACTAAATTTTACAAAACAAACATTTTTAGAACAACCTTATGTATAAAACTGTAACGTAAAGCTCATTTGTAAAGGTCAAAAAGCATATGAATGGATTGAATGAATTTAAAAGAGATAAAACATAGTGTTAGAAGGAGAGACTTATAATGCGACGTTGTGGCAACGAATGAGTCTCTGAATGTATGAATCAGTCAGTTGTAGTTGTATAGGTGTTACAAATTTTGTTTCTTATTTATTTAATTAGTTTGTTTGAAAAATATTTTGTAATTATGGTTCTTTTTAACGTTTTATATTTTTTTATGATTATTGGCAAGTAGCGTTAGAAGTGTGTTCATTTATTGTCGCGATTGTAACAACACGCTGTATATACAGGGTGGCTTTTCTAAGTGTATCCATTTTTTTTAATTAAATTCTAGACATAAATAATCTTATATAAAAATGATAAATATTTTAAATCACTTGTAAATAATTAATTACTCGATTAATTAATTATTTGAACTTATCTCAAAAAGTGCGTGATTTATACACAACTCATTTATTTTACGCGCGATCATTCATAACTAACACGCACACAAGTTCGTGCAGAGTAAAATTTAGGTATTTATGAATGACTACCGCAGTCAACACGTTCTGTTTTATTGGGAAAAGAATGGAATTTTTTGAAAAAAAAAGTTATTTTTTTATTTCAATAAACGATTATGCTACCGAGTCTGAACCCCTGTATAAATTAGGGCACTTCTCAAAAAATCTCCCTGTATAATCAAAAATAATAACTATAGTTAATATAATGTTAAATTCTTTTATATCTAAAATATAATCTAAAACTGCACTAAAATCCTATATTGGAACCGTCGAAAGGCGCGATGTCATTATAACTACTCATTTTTATCGATAACGGCGATATACCAACGCAACACTCACCGATTTAAGCTTACTATGATTGGTGTATGGCCCAGTGTGCTGTGACTGAAAAACAGTACTCTAACAGATGAATCACTTTCATTTCTGAATATTTTTTTGTATTTCTTTATTACATTATAAATGATTTTCAACACAACAAAAGACGATTAAAGATGAAGTACAGATTTTTTTCACATAATTAAAATTATGACTTCTGTAGCTTGACTTTTAATGCTAAAAGTTTTGGATATACAAAAGTAAACTTTTACAAATTTAATATTTGAAGACGTTAAGAATTGAATTAGGTAAAATGTTAAGTATAAATAATTAATTTTAAACTATATAAAAACATCGAAGAGCCGTGAGCGTCCAGGCGCTCGCTTTAAATGCTTTATTCTCGAGTTGATATCTCGATGTCTGCACGAATGAAAATGCATTGTTGGAAGAAAACATCGTGAGGAAACTTGCATGTTTTCGATGTAAGAAAAAATTTCCTGGACATAACCTTGAGGGATTTTTGCTTTTTTTTCAATCGTAAGGATTAAACGTAGAGATTACTGAAAAGTGAGTTTTTGAAAAAAGTGATTGCTTTAATAGATTAATTAAATTTAATAATATTTATTTTTATGGTGTCGTAAAAACGTTAATTTACTTTTTTCTAAATAAAACCTAGTCGCCACTCATTCGGAAAACTTTTAAAACTATTTGACTAAAACTTAAGTGAGAAAAAAGTGTGCCTAAATGAATATTTGTTTTCTTTCGCTTTCGTAATGTACTTTAAAACGTGCCTTTATAAAAACGCGTGCCTAAAAAAATGATAATAAAGTACTTGTTATAAGTTCTATGATAAGATTCAATTTGTTCGAGTGCCAGCTAAAGTAAAGTTTAAATATTAAGTACTAACATTGTCTCATCAAAATACAAACATGCCATAATGTTACTTGAATAGCTTGCTGTTTTATTGATAATAAAGTTCTAGATGATATTAGATTTTAGCATTAATTATTGTTTATATTTAGGTATACGATTTATATATAAATTATTTAAAGTTTGGTAGATCCAACTGTAATATTCTTTATATATATATTGATTACTGTAGTTATGTACGGACTGTACGTAGGCGTAAACATGAATTATTTAACTTTAGCTATAACTACAAAATGTTTGTTGAAGTAAAATATTGTATGATGAACTATTATATACCTAAATAATGAAAACATACACATTATGACTTTTGTTTGACACAGAAATTAATTATTTTAATACCATTAACCCAGTTTTAAACCCATTCTTTGTAATTGAAGTGGATTTACTTAATAAAATAGGAAAAATTAAAAAGTGATGATAATATAAATAAGGGAACTATTATTATTATTATAGTGGAATTGCAAGTATTTTTCTTTTAATATTAACGTCTTTTAACACGTTAACCGTGGAAGCTATATTTCAAGCCTAAAAAGCACAAGGCATTATAGGACTTCTAGCATTTTTACTTATAAAATTATTAGATTATGCTCAAAAAAATTGTTTCATTATAAATTATGTTTCATTGTACTAATTAATTAAGATAAATTTATATAATATGTGTTACAAGTTGTGATTTTGTTAACTAATGATTTTAAAATAGTGTAATACATGATTGTTAGCTCATTTGACAGAATTAAACACTGGAATACAGATCTTGGTTTCATTTTGTACATGTTCTTTAATATTTGGCTAGAGGATTTTCAATTTAAAAGGTCCTCGACTACTAATACTAACAATATTGATAAACTGACGTACTCATTCTTTTATCATCTTTTATTGGGGAAGAAAAAATCCGGTCCTATAATTGACAAGTTCGATTTTAAGCCCTCATTGAACGTCGAAAAACTTCCACTGGTTCACTAGATTAGATTTGTCTAGAGAAGAACTATTTACAAGACTAATATGACTTGTAAGTTAGAGAGCATTTCCACACATTCTTGTCTTCAATATATTCTTCGATTACAATGTTTGAAATTGCTTACACTTAGTTTCTTTTCTGTATGTCACTTATTTCATTATATAATTAATACAGCTACCAAGAACTGTGTATTTTAAAGCATTATTTCCTGCGCTGTACCACAAATATATATAATAACATCTACTATGTTATATATTATATTATTCAGTGTACCCACGAAAGTTAAATTCCTACTTTGGTTAGAAAGTTCGAGGCAGCTGGTTCAACACTAAAAGTCACAAATGATCAACAAAAACGGAGAAAACAGTTGTGTTGTTACTACAAATGAACCCTGAATTCTCATCTGGAGAATAAACAGCTCGGCTTGCCATAGGTATCACGACCATCTTTACGGCGCAAAAAGTTTTTACATACCACAAGATACAAGATTCAATTAGTTTGAGAATTGAAAGCAAATGATAAAAACCTTCGACCCTTTGTTACGACAAGAGAGTACAGTACTCTCTTGTCGTAACAAAGGGTCATTTTCAAAGATTAAACAAAAGTAGTAATAAAAGTAGTATTATCCTGAATGGCCAAGTAGATAAATTAAAGTGACCAAATCCAAAATCGAAACAACGAAAGCCACTAAATTCGCCAATAATTTGACAGTTTGAGCATCAATTTAATTTCATAGAATTATCTGGTCCTTATTTCTTTCCAAATTCTAGGAGGCCCTTTTACTTAATAGTAAACGGAGTAAAGGAGGCCCTGTTACTTAATACAAACGTATATTGTACTCTGTAAAGAGTACAATATACGTATATTGTATTAACCGTATATTGTACTCTGTAAAGAGTACAATATACGTTTCAGTTTCATACAGTTTCCCCGTGTATATAATATGGTATATAGGGAAAAAAATAAAATCAATTGCTCATTTAAAATGTCGTCTAAAACATCTAAAATCATGACGCTGTCCGTATAATTTATAAAAGCATTTTTTATTAACTAAGTAGTGACCCGCAAGTGGCGAAGAGGAGTCTAAACCGGGCAAGTGCTAGTCGAATTAGTGCATGAAGGGTTCGTATACCATTATCTATAAAAACCGCAAACAAACATAAAAAATACAGTCGAATTGAGAACCTCCTCCATTTTTGAAGTTGGTTGAAAATTGAGTCGAGTTAGAAATAACATTTTTTTGATGATTTCGTCTATTTGTTGTTCTGTAAATATTTTTAATCTACGCGTTTGTTTATACATATCTTGATTTACTGACAGAACACAGAACAAATGTAGTAAAACATGAAATAGGGAGTATTAATAGCATTCTTGAAAGCAGCTGTCAAAAGTATATTTGTTCGTCCTTGCAAATTAAAATGTGAATTTAAACTTTCATAGATGACATAAAATTATTTCTGTGATAAATTTATATGTACGTATTTGTTTGCATAAGCTTTCTTGAAATAAAACTAGAAATGGCGTTTCATTACCTAGACTAATACAAATATGAATAGCTAATTTCTATGTGACTTCGTTTATTTGCAAATTTTTTTTATTGCTGAACTGTATCACTACTTTCTACTGCCCGATGACAAAATTTTAAAAAGAAACTAAGATCTGCACATAGGTACTTCAAAAAATATTTATAAATATTGGCTGGCACATAGTAACAAGTATTTTTCTACTGTAAAAGCAATTAAAAATAATCGCCTACTTTGTCACCTTCTATGAAACAAACAATTAGAACTAGTTTAACCAGTAGTGGCATTAAGATGTTAATAGTAAGTAATAATACATGATTGTGATATGAACATTAGACTCCGTAGCTTAGTATCAAGCTGCCTGGTCGAGAATGAACCGTGATGATTCTGTGAAGAGTTCACGACGGTACAGCAGATGCGAGCAGCCTTCGGGAGTCCCGTTGGGTTGGCGGCAAAACTCGCTAACTATTAGCACTTTGGCTCAGCAATCCGCTTACTTGACGGAGAAAGCACGGAACAAACTAAAGTTAGTTATATACCTTGCTCATGAAATTCCTGAAATACACAGTAGTAATCTAATAGTAGATACACTATATGCGTGTTAACCATGGTAAGGTTAAGAGAAATCAGAGTCCCAAGGCAGTTACCAGTTTAGTCTACCTAGCGTAACTGGAGATTAATTAAGAATCATACTTTTTCCGTAAAGTTTATTTCGAATATCGTTTTACAACGATAACTTCGAACGAGAGATGTCGCCATTGCTTTTTTAGAAATTTAAAGTTTTTTATAGTGCTAATCTCTTTTGTGCTCTACAGTTTTAATGTTTAATCTTAAGTGCAGAGATTAGCACTATAAAAAACTTTAAATGTATACTTTTTCTTCTAGAATGTAAAAGCATGTTTTGAATGTTTTTTCAGCGTATAAAATCAGAAAAGTATTTTTCATTATTCATATTTTGTTAGTTATGATGAAGAATTAACCATGAACGAAGCTAACTAAGGGCGCTTAATTTATTAACATTTCACAAATCCTGAGTCTTATTGTTGGGCATAGGGCTCCACGGAGAAATCTAAACCTCGTCCTTCACTGCTGATTTCTTAAACATGTTTAAAAAAATGACGTGTTGTTTTCAGCGACGACCAACAGAAGCCTGAGTCGGTTTCGTGGTTTCGTCTAGTGAGTGTTTAAATTCTTATTTTAAAGCTAGTAGACTGATTACGTATAATTAATCATAAGATAGAATTAAAAAATAATCAATAGTTCAGATACGCGATACCATGTGAACTGCTGCTGCTTGTCGCTGGCGTGATCCTGGCAACCCTGAACGGTCTATTTGTGCCCATTGGCGTGATCATCTACGGCGAGTTCACGTCCCTTCTCATAGACCGCACCGTATTAGTGGGCACTTCGACTCCAACCATCACCATATCTATGTTCGGCGGCGGCAGAGTCCTGTGAGATTTTTATTTTCATAGTTTTTATTTTTATTTTCATTACACAGTAAACAGTAATAGCATTCGAGGAACCATATGAGGAAGCTCGAAAGTTGCTTAGAGGTCTATGGAGCAGGCTATGCTCAGTTCTTCTCTGCGTAATAGGGTTCGTAATGAAGTCATCAGTCAACTCAGAGGATTAGTAAGCTGAAGTGACAACTGACGTAAGTGGTCGTCGTAATATTTTTTGTATTTGACTTATACTAAGACATAAGCTTGCCCGAATCTGCTGGTAGACCACTCTCTTATCTTTCTCTATCATGCGTCGTACAACACTAATGTCTATGTCACTAATCAGATGTCGATGTTGAAAGATGTCCTTTACGCAGATTATGACTGCCTACGCTTAAATTCATTATCAAATTTTAAACATTGGCATGGCATAAAGACTACAAGGGAAATCGTAATAAATCTTGAACCGAAAATTTTCTCGCGTAAATTAATTTTGATTCGCACAAGACTTTTGAAATTACCGCCAATTCAGAAAAACAAATAATAAATGAATGCAATATGTGACATTAGGTTACCAAAGTGTTCTATAGTCAAAATTTAAAAGAAGTTTTCGTTCACTTCAATGTTTCTCACTGACCACATTTCTAAAATCTTTCAGTGTCTGCCCTGGTATAGGCTATCATAAAGTAGGACAGTAATTGCATAGTGACTAAGAAGTCGGTATCGAAATGTTTAGTTTCGAATCCAAGTGGCGTTTATCAATGTGGTTTAGGTTTTTAGAATTTCTTAGATGCAAAAATCAAGGCACAATGGGGTGCACGACGCGTATTAGGAGTAATGTGTAGCATTAAATAAACTTCGTTAAAGGAGAGAACGAGCTTACTATACCTTTTGGATCGAAAGAAATGACATCTTATTCCCGTTATCTATTTTATGGTATACGTATTTCGTACGATTTATTGTACTTACACAGACTGTGGTGTGAAAGCGAGATAAATCATGATTTTACTTAATTATCAATATTTAATTAACGTTAACTGACATATGACAATGTACGATGGGACTGATATACGTAATGTATAATTTTCCTTAAATGAAATGAAGGAAAAACGTATATGAATTTGGTTAGTCAAAACAGGAAGGTACTTTTGTCAAGATCTTTTCTTGCTTTTGTAGGTGACATGTTATAGTAATAATGTAAAGAGGACATTATATGCAATCAAATATTAGATCATACATCTTAGTACGGTTAACTAAAGACTGTAACGCACTAATCAGGAACCAATGCTCTTGACGTAGGGAGACAAGCCTTAAAAGTTTTAAGCGTCTAAAATCAAACGTCAATAGGAAAAAAATATATTTTTTTTATTGGAGATAAGCTCTATAAACGGATTATGCCTATACAGGACAAATGCAAGCGCTGAAGAGAACCGTTTGGCTTTAATTGAGGACTCACAGGCTTTCGGCATCGGCTGCATAGTATTCTCCGCGATGCAATTCATATGCGGGGCCGTTAGTGTCACTATCTTCAATTATGCCGCTCTCAAACAGGTGACTTGTTGGTTGCACTCTTAATTAACCAAATTGACTTAGTTTATAACGTACCTGTATCTTTATTGTACGGAGTATTTTTACTGACTACACTCTCTATTTTAATACCAACCATGCAAATTATACCTGCAAATCGTGAACAATGTAACAATGTAACATTTTAATTTGTTTTGTTTAAAATTTTTATCTTTATTTGTTTGTGTGTTGTTCTTTTTTATTTTCCCCTGTTCGTTGATAAAATAAAATGACAAGAAAAGCATTATGCATGGGAAATAATAGAAACTATAACGATAAGCGGACATTGTGCTTGCGTTCACTGATACTAAATCTGCTTATATATATTATATATGTCAAATAAAACAAGTAAACAATATCAAAAACTGTAAAATATTCGTTACAAAATAAAGAACACATGTAATGGTTATAGAGTTTATACGAATAGTTCATTGGCAACGACTTTGGTCCGGTAATAGATGTGTAATTTCGTCTTTTAATTAAGGAGGCAAAGATATTTATATCATAACCTACTGCTAAGCAACTTGAATTATTATTTGTGAACCTTTTAAGCATTTATAGCATTTTTAGAAAACTAAGAAATAGCTATACTTTTTGCTATTTCTTAGTTCTCTTGGATGTTTTAATTATTGAACTATGCTTGGCTTAATTAATGTACATATCTTCATATTCTATAAACTTATAGTTTACCACATAATAAAACTTACTTAGCCTTAATTTCAAGATGAGACCAAAAACTCATTTAAACACAATTGTTTTATTAAATTTTTTTATCTATTAGATTGACAGGGTAAAAGAGAAATTCCTATTAGCCGTCCTCCGTCAGGACATCACGTGGTACGACCTTAATACAACGATGAACTTCGCAACTAAGGTATCCGAGTAAGTTATTGCCGTTAACCTAATTTTGACTCGAAAGCATATTTGTAATTTTATTATAAATTATCGGAGATATATGTATATTTAAGTTTACCTGTTCGATCAAATCGCTATTTAATTACTTTTACTCGTGAAAATATCGAAAAACTAACAATATATAATAATCGGTAGCAATAACAGAGCTTACGAGGGTAATACAAAGATGGCAGTTTAGCAGATTGTAAGCGATGGAAATTTGCAACACTCGTAGGGTTGCAGATACTGTGCCACCTGTTTATTAAGTGGGGCCGGTAGTACCAGGCGAAACGCGGAACTATTCCATTTCACGCCAGTCTTCTGTGAGGTGGTACTTCCCCGAACGGACCTGCCCATTCGTGAAACAGCGAAGACTGTAGCTGGCTCTATCATACTAAAATGTGATCTTATTATATAGTATAAACTTTAATCTTATTAGATAAAAAGTAATTTCTTACTTAATGAACGTGGTGCATACATTGAAAGGTAATTTTGCAGCGACGTGGAGAAGTATCGCGAGGGAATTGGTGAAAAGGTGGCAATGTTCGTGTACCTGGTGATGTCATTTGTGACCGCCGTCATTATCTCATTGCTCTACGGCTGGGAGCTCACACTAGTCATATTGTCATGCGCACCAGTCATCATCGCCACAACAGCCATTGTAGCTAAGGTACATATGTAATTAAAATCGATTTGCTGGTGCCAACGCTTAAAGCTCCCATGTTAGTCACGACGTCAAAAGAAACTAAATCAGAGACTAGATACTTAGCGTTTTTTCAAGTGCAGTCAAAACCACTGATTTGTAAATGTTAAACTGGTACCAACAAACATGTAGCGCCGTGGAGTAGGTTTCCATCCCCATAAGGGAGAATTTTAAGTTATAATAAATAAAAGATAAAATTGATTATAAAACTCGGAAAGCCCAGAAACTTTGAAAAATATGAACCACCCCTGTATTTTTAAAAGTGCGAGCGAGATAGCGAGAGCTGTTTACAATTGTATACCTCAGTTTTAAAGATAGAATACATTGTGCATTGTTTTAAATTTATTGTTAACAACAAAGTTTTAACAGTATTCTGGCAAATAAATGATTTCTAAGTTATAAAGAACACTGCTCAGCTCTATCTTAACTGATGAAATTGTAATAGTTTTCGCTGTACTTTTGCGTTTACCGTGAAAGAGAATCTTATCGGCTAGAATGTTGAATAGGCGATGAAAGCCATAAACAGGCCATTTTTTTCCAGGTCAGTATAAATTATTATTGTATATTTTTTTAATTATCTGAAAGGCCTTTATTTCACTCAAGGTTCAATCGTCCCTGACCACACAAGAATTGAAAGCATACAGTATCGCTGGAGTTGTGGCTGAAGAGGTTCTTGGGTCAATTAGAACAGTAGTTGCTTTCGGCGGCGAAGAGAAGGAAATTAAAAGGTGTTTTATTAATAATCGCTACCGAAAGACTGTTGCTAATAAATCTTTTTAAAACGATGCACGTATGTTATGGTTTCGTTGTCGTCGAACTAAATAACAACCAAATTAATACAGCTGCTGATTTGACCGTAGCGATTTTCTTAATATAATTAATAGTACGGGACAATATATCGTAATTCTTAATCGAATTTTTTTTTAAGTGAATCTTATTCCGAATTTCATTTCATTATATTATAACTGTTGCAATTTGAACACGGAACATACACAAAATTATAGTATAATCATTTTACTTTACTGTAATAATGATTGCTTCATAACTTTAGGATGATTGCAAGGGACACGGGACATCAATGGAATCAGATATTTATTGATTCTAGATATTCGGAACGCTTAGCGCCAGCGAAGAAGACTGGCGCTCGTAAAGGCATGTACTCCGGAATGGGAAGCGGATTCATGTGGTTGATAATATACATGACGTACGCCCTTGCATTCTGGTATGGAGTCGGTCTCATCCTCGATAGCAGGCACGAAGTGGTCCCAATGTACACGCCAGCCGTGTTGATGATTGTGAATATGACATATTTTCATTTCAACTTGATTGATCGAATTGTTTCTTTACCAGATTAAAATTCCATTATGTTTTGTGCAGCATTATTCGTTTTAAAATTTAATAATGTAAAGTTATAAAAGTCATAAAAAACAACATGGTATGGTAACAAATTAAATTTCACGTTTTTAATTTAATCAGTTGTATATTAGTTGTAGTTTTCGTTCTATCCCCCAGAAGGTATCAATATTTTAACATTTCAAGCATTTCTCAATATTTAAAACGTAATAATAACTATTGAGTTGAAACTATTTAATTTAAATTTACATCTAACAGATATTCTTTAGCGTACTCCAAGGGGCACAAAACGTTGGCCTAACAACACCTCACATTGAAGCTTTGGCTAGTGCGAGGTCGTCGGCCGCGGCCATTTTTAAAGTCATAGACCGAAAACCCGATATAGACAGTCTGTCTACCGAAGGCACCAAGCCCATACTGGACGGGAATCTTGAACTGCGAGACGTGAGCTTCAGATATCCAGCAAGACCCGATGTTCAGGTAACACAAACTACCGCGTTATTACAATTAAAACTTTTGTTGCCAAATAAAAAAAATAAAAAAAGTATTTTCGTGTCACCAAGACATTATTTAGAAGATGCAAATTAAGCGCAAATATTGTTCGTTTGTTAACAAAAATTTAAAGTATATTTTAAGTTTCATCTTAAGTGCAAACGCTAGCGCAAAAATGAAAAAAATGTCAAAAGTCAAGTCAAAAATTTTTTATAAGCTTATTTTAAGCTCTTATTGAACGTCAAAAACTACCACCGGTTCACTAAACTAGACCTGCAAGAGAAGAACCGGCAAGAAACTCTGCGGTCATATATGTATTTTTTTTAAGTATTTAAGTATACTATGTATTTAATGGTTATTACATTAGGCCAGAACAAGGATAGGCTTAATTTATTACCATGACCAACAAAGGCGACACTATCCTGATAGTTTATTTATTTTTTACTGATAAGTATTTTCTGTCACGTAATAATTCTTAATTCAACTAAAGACAAAGGCAACATTTCTTTATTCATTATAGGCTTATACCACCGGTAATACTTTACAAGTGACACTACTTAATGATTCCGCGACTTCAAATAACTCAATATGGGGAACCTCATAGGTTGGCACATACATGTTTAAAGTAATTTGCTTGAAATGATATTTAATACATGGTAAATCACATATCTCTACAAGATTTAATAGCGTCATTGTTTTTAACTTTCATCTCCTGAATGAATTTACGAATGCTCTACTCGTATTGTTGGTAAAATTTAATAAAAATAGCCGTTAGCTTATGCTGAATTGTAAATAGCTAAATAGCTGTTTACAATTTAGCGTATTAATATATGTTATAATAATATTCCCTACAAGAAATCCGCTCTATTAGGTGCTGTACGGACTGTCTCTGAAGATCAACCAGAACGAGACTGTGGCGCTGGTGGGGCCGAGCGGCTGCGGCAAGTCGACGGTTCTCCAGCTGCTGCAGAGGATGTACGACCCCGAATCCGGCGCCGTGCTCGCGTCCGGTCACAACCTGTCCTCCATCAACGTGCGCCATTTTCGCTCCCACATCGCCGTGGTCGGCCAGGAGCCGGTGCTGTTCGCCGGTACAATCAAAGAGAACATACGGTGAGTGTTATAACTCTATGTAGTTGTAGGCCACGCGACAGTCTTCGATGTTGCACGAACGGGCAGGTCCATCCGGGTAAGTCTGACGACCTCACAGAGAGCCGGCCTGAAGTGGATGGAATACACTCTACGTTTCGTCTGGTGGGAGAGGTAGCCGGTATGTAGCCTTTTTATTAAAAGGTGACAAAGCATCTGCAACCCTACGGGTGTTGCCAATGTCAATAGGCGACGGGTATCACTTAACATCAGGTGAACCACAAGCTAGCATGCCACCTTCTGACATAAAAAAAAACTGAACTATTTCGATGCAATTTTGCATTCGATCAGAATGAAATTAGAATGGCTTAAATAAAAAACATTAACTTTTCCAGTCTTATTTAACTTTACGATATATGCAGTAAACGTTATTCCTACTTATAAGTGATAAATCATAATGCTATAATGGACAACGTTTTTGATATCTATATCATAGTGACGAGGCCGCCGGATAACTGGCCTACGTAGACATTTTGAAAATTGAAAATTTAACAAAGCTAGAAATAAGGAATTTTGATATCTAAAATTATCAGCCATGCAACCAGCTACGAATCCGATAATAATTAAAATAAAAACTCTTTGCCTTGTTTGACGCTAATTGCCAACGACCGTAGATATCTGCAAAGCAAAATTTATTGTTCGGTTACTTCAATCACCGACAGAGAGGCGAATTTATAAATAATCCCGTAATTTTTTAAGTTTTTCTTGTCCATACGAGACCCCCTCTCTAAAAATGCCTTTGCAGAAGATTACATTCCCTGCGAATGAAAAACTAAAAAAGAAATTCTTTTTCAGGTTAAGTAACCCAACGTGCTCCGATGAAGATATTATAGTCGCGGCGAAACAGGCATATTGTCACAATTTCATCAAAAAATTACCCAATGTAAGTGACATTAAAGTTTGAATATAAAACTAAGTGATCAAGCCATTGTGAACTTATTTTCTTTTGTTGGCATGACACACCACAAATTATTATACAAAACTTCAAATTGAGACTACAGATTACTTATTTAATTCAATCCAGTATTTATGCAGCACTTTGAACGCCTGAACGTGAATGCAGGGATACGACACATTAATAGGGGAGAGGGGCGCCCAGCTTTCTGGTGGGCAGAAGCAGCGCATCGCGATCGCACGCGCCCTGGTGCGCCGCCCCAAGATCCTGCTTTTAGACGAGGCCACGTCGGCGCTCGATTCGCACAGCGAGGCCAAGGTGCAGAGAGCCCTCGACGCCGCCGCCCACGGCAGAACCACCGTCATGGTGAGCCACAGGTATCACGTTAACACGCCGTCACCACAGCAAAAAAACTTCCAATTATTCATTAATAACCAATTAATGATCTGTAATTTGCATAGCTAGGAAAGTGAGCTGAATTGACACAGGGCCGGTCACATAGCTCGATTTTTTTTTATGTGACATAGTGGCGAACGGGCTGGTGGTTCACCTGATGTTAAGTGATAACCGCTGCCCATGAACATTTTCAACATCCATAGGGTTGCAGAAGCGTTGCCACCTTTGAATAAAGTGTGCCCCGGCTACCTCACTCACCAGACGAAACGTAGAAATGTAACACTGTGAGGTCGTGGTACTTACCCGGACGGTCCTGCATTCGTTTAACAGTGAACACCATTGCGTGACCCTACCACACTTGAAATACCGATAATTTATCGGAATAAGGGTTCTCATATGCCTTGTATTGCATCGTAGTGTACCACGACCCCACACTAGATGGAGTGACGATCTGTGCAATTGTGCGGGATGTTGATGGATGCAGGTGGCCCAGGATCGTGCTTCGCGGCAGTCTGTGTGGCAGACCTATGTTCAGCAGTTGACTCAAACAGGCTGAAATGATAATGATGATGTTGATGACATTTTTATTAAATATCGTAAACTGAACTATTAACAAATCGAGACGGATCTTGGTGTTTGTACAACTCGGAAAGATTGTATTTATCGGTAAATTTCAATTTTGTATTCTTCTTGCGTTTATTTTATAGGAAAATAGCACTAAATTAAACGGTTGACCCGATATTAAGTGATAACCGATGCGGGATTGAAGATGCATTGCCAAGTCAACCTTGAAAAGGGCTTAACTATACAACGCCAACGTACAAATATTCCTATCATGTACAATATCATTTATATTTAATAAGCATTTGCTGCCGCACCTCCAAACAGGAAATACAGGCTTTTCACCTCCAAATCTCAAAGTCATTAAAAAATGCTAATACTAATACCAAGTAGGACAACATAATTGGTGTATAGTTATTTTTTCGAACTAATTAAACTAAACGAAATAATTTATCACTTTCTATTAAATTGTATAATAGAGTTATACGATTCCATAACTTGTCTACATAATTATATGTTATAGTCGGTTAATTTTAATGAATACCCTTTGTCAGATTTGACGCTGCTAGGCAAAGGCTTTCTCTGTACAGGGGATATTAGGACATAGCCACACGATCCCATTGCGGATTGGCGGAGTTCACATGTCTTCCAAAATTTTTTTTTTGTTATTATTTCGAAAATATGCAGTTTTCCACACAATGTTTACATTCAACGCTGAATATGTGATAAATCAGGACTAAAAATTAAAAATTACATTGTTAAGGCAAGTATATCGAATTACAAGCGAGTGCGTGGACAAGAAAAGGCGTAACGCCACTAAAAGTATGATCGTGCTATGCTATACTGTATTTTTCATTACGAATGTTATCAAAACATTTCGACGAGTTGTCTCGATTTGTTAGATACTATTTATGCAATATGTTTCAATTATAATGTATTTTACTCCCTATAGGTTAGCGACTGTATTGAATGCCAATCGAATTGTATTCATTGACAAAGGCGAAGTCATAGAAGAGGGAACTCATACGGAATTGATGATAAAGAAAGGTCGATACTACCAACTAGTGCTGGAAAACGAGCCCAGTATCGCCCCTGGAGCCAATATAGACAAACCAAAACGTAAGTTAAATACTAAAATTTTCCATTGATATTATAAATGCAATTTTGTGTAATGTACACACAATAAAATGTTCGTAGTTCTTGAATTTAACGTACGTAATAGATACATTTTAATCGACATATAAAAGTAAATTATACTATATTATATGAGTTCTTGACATGAAATCAATGTTACTTTTATTAAGGCAAGAAATCAACATATAAAATCATAGAGAATTTAGCAAACAACTATCTAAAGCTATTTGTAACGGTGTGCAGGCGCAAGGATAGCCAAGCCGGCGTTACAACACACGGCGTCGAAGGATTCTGTAAAAAGCAGTAGCGCCTCAGAAAGCTCCGGCTCGGAGGGCAGTTTGCAGCTCGAAGATGAAAGGGAGGTTGAATTCAAACCTACCACGTGGCAGATACTGAAACTTTGCAAGCCGGAGAAGTGGCTGATGGTGGGCGGAGTGATCGCGGCCTTTGCCGTTGGATCATCGTTTCCGTGTTTCGCGCTGTTGTTCGGTGAAACGTACGGTGTATGTACATTATTTTGATTCCTTATGACCTCAATAAGGTTTTCTTTTTCTTTAAAAAACATTACTCTTACTTTAGGATAACATTATCCTAAGGACGTTTTACAAACGTAAATTTCACGTGAACGAACACCCAGATGCGAAAGAACTATCTGTGGGTCGCACAAATAGTTGAGGCGTGTGGGAATCGGACTCACGACCCCCGATGCCGAAGCCAATAACTTGGCAACTGCGCCACGGAGTCATCGTTATTATTTATTTATTTATTTTTATCGGGTCCACCAACAGCATCATAGTGTATAGTATAAAACAAAGTCACTCCCGTTATTTTTACGCTTAGATCTTTTAAACTACGTAACGGATTTTATGCAGTTTTCCGCAATATATAGAGCGATTCAAGAGGAAGGTTTATAAATGCATATTGAACCCGCAAAATGCCAGGGCAGGTCGCTAGTAAGGTACAATTTATGTGTGTAGCTATACAGCCAATTCTAATATATATCTATTAAAAGGTAGACACAACTTTGGAAAAAAAAATTTTAAATGCACTTGTAAACCTAAAAGAAATAAAAGGAAGTGAAAGCTCACACTATATATATTTTAAAATTAACATGCAATTATGCAAATGAATGAATGAGATATAATTAAAAATATTTATTCATACCTCATTAATAAAATTTTATCCATAACGGGTGCAATCATTTTAACGGGTTAAAGAGAGAAAGACCTATCAAATTTGTGCTATCGAATTTTCAATAAATTTTCCACAAAAATACGCGGAACTGATTTTAGTCGAAAAAAATTCTAAAAAAGGAAGCCTCGTTGGTGAAGGTCCTTCCTTCTATAAAGGTAGAAACCTTTATAGATATTTATTTATAATAATCTTCCAAATGTTATAGATTACTGTAGGTACATAACAACCATTTTAAGTTTATAGTTAAAGTAATGGTTTAATTGCACTCTAACGGATACGTTATATTTGATGACTATTATTTTTTTAAATCTGTTTATGACTTAAAAAGATTAAAATAATACAGTATGAACATAAAAATTTGCAAATTTATCCTTTTTATGATTTTCAGATAATATTGATGTATTTTCAAAATTATAAAAACAAAATTCAATCCATTCATTGATAGTAGCGCTTTCAGTTAGTAGACTATAAAAGTTTCATCGGGCACAGAGAGCTCTTGGAAATTAGGTCCCCACTAGCTTCGCTTCAAAATATTGCTTTGAAGTACAAAATTCAAATGAAACAACGCGTAGACTCAAAACAGTCGAAGGATTTGTCGAAGTTTGATTTTGATTTTGTTAATCGCATTTCCATGCCAATGAAAACTTCGTATTATTTGTATTTAAATAGTGCTTAAGAAAAAAATTGAATTAAAATATAAATAGCTGCTAGAACATCCAGACGAGGACTACGTACGTGGCGGTATGAACGTCATTGCAGTGCTATTCCTTTTGGTGGGCGTGTATACTGGCATGAGCATGTTCATCCAAATATTCGTCTTCAACCTAACCGGCGTAAGACTAACTGCGCGTTTGAGGTTAGTAATCTTTAGAAGACCACTTTGAAGTAGAAGTATTTGTTGTCTGTGATTCGTCTTATGCACTCACTAAGTTGTAGGCGAATCATAAAGTCCCTCCACACTATCACGTACTATTTCTCGAGAACCGTCTCTCCGTTCTTCCATGCCATTTTCTCTAATAAAGTGTCATCTAATTTGTTTCTTGGTTTGTGAAATTTAAACGAGTCCTTTAATCGTATTCCATAGAAAAAAAGAGAAATCAACCAGTCCTTGTTAAAAAGTAAACTGTTCACGTTCACATTATTCTCTTATTCGAAACCGTCATACTTCCCAGAGTCAGCCCTTCGTATGACAGATAATAATTGTTCAATTCAGAGAAGGTGCGTTCCGTGCCATGCTGAAGCAGGAAATGGGCTGGTTCGATAGTCCATTGAACGGGGTTGGTGCTCTCTGCTCCAGGCTCGCCGCTGACGCAGCGGCCGTGCAAGGGGTACTATCATCAACCAAAATTATTCCGTCACCCTCCGGCCCGTGTTAAACTCATATGGGTGAATCAGTTCGCGCTTTTGCGTTTGCAGTAGTGTACGGTCAACAGATACATAAAATGACGCTTTCTTATATGTAACTTTGGGTTTAAATCGCATATAATTTTTGGAAACTTAAATTGAGAAACTTCTATTCAATTTTAATTAATACTTTTTTTTTAAATAAGGATGACATCTGTCCTAATTATCTTTCTTCTTCTTGGTATTCAACAGTTAACAGCAGCTTCGGCCGATTTAATATAAATTATATTGTGAAACTCAATTTTATCAAAGTTGAACGATACAGCAAGTTTTAAATATATGATATTGACGTTTTATTAATTCACACCTGCAACGTGTACCATAGATTTAGTCACTTCATGAAGGTATATCACAGTATTCTTACCCAGAGGCGGTGACTAATAAATAAGGCGGATTAATTCAGATCTGCAACATTTACCACAGATTTAACCTATTCATGCATATCATAGCATTCTTACCCAGAAGCGAAAATTGTCGACAAAAAATTGATTGATCATTCGACCAGGCAACTGGCACGCGGATCGGCGCTCTAATGCAAGCGTCGGCCACTATCATCATTGGCGTCGTGCTCTCTCTGTACTACACGTGGCGGATGACGCTGGTCTCCCTGGTTTCCGTCCCGTTGGTGATAGTCGCCGTCGTGCTCGAGAGTAGAGTGCTGGCGGAGGGAATCGCGTCCGCGAGATCTTCTTCCGACGTAGCGACAACCATAGCTACAGAAGCCATTACCAACATTAGGACCATTTCCGCATTTTGTGAGTGATATTTCTTCCTTGGTAACCTTTCTGAAGGTACTGCTGAAAGTATATTGTGTAAATTAATAAAATATCACTGAACTTATATGCCAAATCTCAGTCTGATCAAATCTATAATTTGTAAGTAATAGTTATTTATTCGTAAATATGTATTGAGTAGTCCAAGTCTAGATAGAGACTACGAAAGTAACCAAAAGGCCATAAACGTCACATAAAAAACGACTTTTCTAACCATCCGACAGTTATAGTATAAAAATAATTTGAGTAGATAAAGTTATTATGTACTTTTACCCCATATAAAGTTATTGACCCTCTTATCCTCTATCTTATGTTTTCATCGAATCGAATGTAGGGAGAATCATAAGGTTGAATTTTAATTAAAATTATAATATAACTTCACCGTGTTATATGATTTACCTAAATATCAAATTAGTATCCCAGCCCGACCAAATCTCAAGTGTGCGTGCGTTTACAGATTTAAAAATATGTCTATTGTTCCCAACCTATTGCTTACCTATTCACCAACCGTTCCTTAATCCATTCCGGTAATCACTGTATTATTTTTCGATTATTCTTTTACTCCGTCTTACTTATCTCCTCACATTAATTTCCTTGTGTACTACTCGCATTTTGCCTCGACGCGTAGTCGTCTTCTCCAGTGTCCTCAGCGTTCTGGTCAGAAATCATATGTCCTGACTGATAATCTTTTTTTGTCCAGTCGATTCCTTTGTGGAATACGGTGCCTTTCATACTGAAAAAAATGTCGGCAGATTCACTAGATAATATTTTTAGATAGACTAGACTTATAATTTATAGATTAGACTTATATTTTTAATATATGAATAGTACACGTATAGCAGAATAGGTTAGGTATATGTAACATATTAATAGAAATTTCAACAATTGCCTTTATTTGTATTACCTTAACTTCTATAATCCACCCTAAAGTTGACAAGTTGATAAGAGTAATGCTTATTGCATTTCTGTCTCTCAACTCTACACAAATAACTTTAAAAAGAGACCTTAGAATATAAGATCTTCAAATAACTAAATTACATATGTATTTCAAACGTCAAGCCTCGAACCCATCAATAATGGAATTGCGAACAACGGTGCTTACCTTCATGGCGTCATTGCACTCGGTCTCAAGAAACATCATCCGACAACTGGAGTTAATAAAGACACACTTTGTTCGCAGGCGGCGAGGAAGGCGTGGTTAGGCGGTTCCACAAAGCCAGCGCCAGCGCGGTCGCCTCCCAGCGGCACAGCATGAGGTGGCGGGGTCCAGTGTTCTCTTTCGGGCAGACGGCACCAGTCGCCGGTTACGCACTATCGCTCTGGTACGGAGGTGTACTCGTCGCCAACAAAGAGGTCCACTATAAGACCGTAATCAAGTACGTATCAGTAATCTAACCCCATTCCACAGTTGAACGGTAATGAAGCAGTAAAGCGCCAAGTCTACCCATTCTAAATTCTTAAAAACACGAAGTGCACGATACGATAAGGCCCACAAACAAAATCCTTCATATGACCTATCAATATCAGGATCTCGATAAATTCTCTCTCATAACGGTTTCCTTAACTTGATGACTGTGATTGTAATTAACTGTGTGACATTTGGCAGTCAATTACTGAAGGTCGTCTGTCAAGTAACATCAAACGCGGAACCAACAAAGTGTGAGATAAATATTGATTTCTACACTTAAGTCTATAAACGGTATAAACGCGATATTGGTAGTCTGTCCGCTGAGAACGTATTTCTTTAATGTTAAATGGTGGCAAGTGATCATTTGGTTCGCCAGATGTTAAGTAAAAACAGCCGCTCATAGACAACGCCCGTAGGGTTGCAGATGGGTTGGACCTTTTAATGCGAACCCCGGTTAACTCATTCACCAGACGAAATGCAGATGAAACACTTCCACTTCACGCCTGTCTTCTGTGAGATCGTGGTTCTCCGGAATCTGCCCATTCGTGCACCAGCCCTACTACAGTTAATAGTGGAAACCTGCGGTATACTCTTATTGTTATTATTATTGTCGCCGTTCATGTGAAGGGTATCAGAGGCCTTGATCTTCGGCGCTTGGATGATGGGCCAGGCGTTGGCTTTCGCGCCCAACTTTGGGGCGGCAGTTTTGGCGGCTGGGCGCGTCATGACGCTGCTAGCGAGGCAGCCGCGCGTGAGAAGCCCACAGTCGCCCTCTGTGCCCGACAACTACGTGAGTGGTGTTTTACAGAACAGATAATCCCTTCATCTAAACTCTCTAAACTAATACCATAAACAAGAAAGATTTGATTTTTTATTTGTTACGATTTAACTCAAAAACTACTGGATTGATTTCAAAAATTCTTTCACTAATAGAAAGCTGCATTATCAGCGAGTAACGTAAGCAACTACGCGTGTGAAATAAATTATATTTATATCATGCAATTTCCACTAACATTTACTATGCATGTAGGTTCCGAGAAATCGATTATGTCAAAACTCTCCTCGTTCTCCCCTAATCGAACTCTTCCAAAGAATATATGACATTTTACTATATCTACTATTCCGACGTTTACTATACTTTACTCGACGATGACGATTTTCATTTAGATCGCAGAGGGCAAGATACAGTACAGTCACATCAAATTCCGCTATCCGACCCGTCGCGAGGTCGGCGTGCTTCGCGGTCTGTCACTTGTCATTCCCAGCGGTAAGCGTGTCGCGTTCGTCGGCCCTAGTGGATGCGGCAAGTCCACATTAATTCAGCTCTTACAAAGGCTGTACGATCCGGACGCAGGATATGTGGTAGGTTCTGTTTTATTTATTGCTCTATGCTTTATTGCGAACCTAACTTGAACTTCCCCTTCTTGACATAATTATCTAATGTTTGTTAATGTGTGTATTTGTGTATGCACTGTTTATATAAATATTGATATACGCGTGTATATGTATGTAATATTTTATATACAATCATATTGTTACGTGTTAGACGTAACAATATGATTTGTATGTGCGACTCCCGTGGTTTCAAGGCGCACTACTTTCTTCTGTAGTTCAGTAACCGGCCGGTTTTCACATTTTCAACATCCAATCCTAACCCGGTAACTCGTTCTTCCACTGCGTCGACATCTTTTCGAAGCTTAATCACCGTGTTACTAACATCATTTATAGCCAAAAGCGCTTTTTCTTGGAGGTCTTTTTGTTGCTCTTATGATTCTCGAATCGCTCTGATTTCAGCCTTTTGCAGCTCCATTAGTTCAATTAAACTTCCTAAGAGCCACTTCAGAGGCTGCAGAAGTTACGTTGCCGCTGGTGGGCGTGGCAAGATGGGCGGAGCCGGTGGGCGTGGCCCGGTGGGTGGAGTCAGTGGGCGGTGTTTGCACCAAAGGGGGCGGGGTCTGAGCCCGAGTGGGCGGGGCTTGTGTTTGAATGGGTGGAGTCGGAGGGGCGTGGGCGTGGCCTGTTCGGTGGGGCCAGTGGGCGGGGCTTGCCCCGCAGTTGGCGGGGCTTGCCCCACAGCGGGCGGGGCTTGGTCCCCAGTGGGTGTGGCCTCCGCAGCTCGTGCCCTTGTACACCCTCCTTGAAATCCTCTCTCGGAGTCAATGGCATCTCCAAATCCCACTTCTGACACCAGTTGTTACGTGTTAGGGGTTCGAAGGATTTGGAGAAAGACCTGCTGACTCTTTTGAAGACTTTTATTCAATAGCACTAGGTCCAACACAAAGCACTAGGTCCAAACACTAAGCACTAACGATGTCCTATTTTTGTAGCCAAGTCGTAGGTTTCACTGGTATCGCTCTTGATCACTAGTTTTCACTCCGAAGTCGCCTCGAAGGTAGCTCAAACTGAACTGTACTGTGTTCGCTCGCCTCCCTGCGGCTTTTTATATGGGCCGAGACCGGTTCCGGACTAATCCAGAAAGATCCTTCCTGGAACGTACCCGACACGCGCGAACATGTTCGTGATTCCGGAAACTTCGCGAATGTACCCGGTTTTCGAGACTATAGTTTCACAGCAGTTCCTCTAACGCCATCTAGTGTTGAATAGGGGGGTTTTATGTCGTCTTTGTTCTTTAGTGGTTTTAATAGTTGACGCTAGATGGCGTTAGTTCCTTTGTGCGTTCATAACAATATTATTTGTCGATTGACCGGTATCGGTCCGTCATTGTACGTTTTATGTGCAAAAGTTAATAAATAAATAAACCTAAATGAAAGAGGTAGCAAAGAGTGGACTTTTTCTATATTCTATCTGACTGGTTCAATATTCTATCTATAGATAGATTTCACTACTAGCGATAGGTATCTGACATTAGCTCCATTATACTTACGTCAAAATTATATCTCCAGTAACCAAATCTCTCTGTTGATAAAATATTGAAACTGGCCGTTAATGTCCTAAGGTAAGAAAAAGTGAAGTATCTACTTAACATCAGGCGAACCGCAAGCTCGTTTGCCATTTTGTCACATAAATAAAAATAAAAAATATATACTGAGTGCAATAGGAACTCAAATTGTATAATTTAGTTAAATATACCGATTTCTCCACGAAATTTTCAATTTTCTCATGTATGATGAGATAAAAGCGAACGTATTTTTAAAAACCACAGATTGATATAATATCCATGGATTGATGCATCCCTAACTTTAAAACTTTAAATTTTGTTTTAAATATTACTGACAGGTTTAATATTCATCATCATCATCATTTCAACCTATTTTAGTCCACTGCTGAACGTAGCCCTCTCGCACGAAGCATGTTCCTGAACCAACTGTATCTAACGCTTCCCGCAAATTTGCACTCAGCGTCACTCCATTTAGTGAACAGTCGTCCTACACTGTGACAATTCAAGGCTGCCCCACTCGAGAACCTTTTGTCCACATAGGTCTTTCCTTTGAGTTGTACGGCCGACACATTGCCACTTCGGTTTACTAATCTTGAATTATGTCAGTTACCTTTGTTCAACTGCGTTTATCTTCATTGTGAACTCTTTCAAGCAGAGAAATACCCAACAGCCCAGTTCTTTATACAGCCAACAGTGAAGAACACGTATCTCGGTTCCATAAGACAACAATGGCGAACACATGGATCTGGAACCTTTTGGCCCTCTAATATTGAGGGTATTCTATTGAACGAGAAGATATGCCGAAGTTTCGCGAACTCTGCTCACACGCGAAATTCGAATGTATTAATGTTGTTGCGTGAAAATTATTTAAATGTTTAAAATATCGTCACTCCAAAATTCAAAAACGCTACAAACATGGTAGCAGTTATGATTCTTTTATCGCCTCTGGTGGAATTATATTTACCAATTCAGATGAATTTCAAATTGTAATTTCACAGTACTTGGACGACAACAACATAATGGAGGACATGCGAATTTCCACACTGAGGAGGAATCTTGGCATCGTGTCGCAGGAACCCGTCCTTTTTGACCGGACCATAGCCAAGAATATCGCATACGGAGACAACACTAGGGACGTGCCCATGGACGAGATTGTGAACGCGGCAAAAGCGGCCAACGTGCACACGTTCGTCACCGCTCTGCCTTCTGTGAGACTTTTTTAATGTTTGTCAGAACTTTTGACTGAGTGAACCGATTTTGATGATTCTTTTTTTATTTGAAAGCTGGTGCTTCCCATGTGGTCCCATATTAAAATTTCATTGGTATTGGATATTGGGTTCTGGAGATACTTAGGGAAATAAGTTATGAAATGAATACAAAGCGAGATATTTGTAGTCGGTTTTGTTTTTCGTTAGTAAAAAAAATGGTTATCGCAAATCGAATCGATCTGTTTACCTGCTGGACTGCTGCTTAAAGTTACATTCTGTTTTTTACGTCCGACTGAAAAGTTACATTTTTCAAGCGAAATAAAACCAAGATAGGATTGTCTTGTAATTAATGATTAATGTTTCAGTTCTATTGTTATTTAAATATTCACATTTATTACGGAATATAGTCAAAAAGATTCCAAACAATTTTCTATAAGTCCCTTTGGACTTATAAAAAATTGTTTGGAATTTTTTAATCTATTTGTAATTATGATAAACTTTTTGAGTTGTATTTATGATATACTTTGTTTTAAATATATAACTATAATAATATTGATATTATAATGAATGAGTAAGATAAAAACGAAGACATCCGCTGTAATTATACTTTGCCTTCAAATTTCAAATAAGGGCTACGACACACGGATCGGGGCGCGCGCGTCTCAGCTTTCCGGAGGGCAGAAGCAACGGATCGCCATCGCGCGAGCGCTTGTGCGCAACCCGCGCGTCCTCCTGCTCGACGAGGCCACTTCAGCCCTCGACACGCAAAGCGAAAAGGTCCCACACTTTGACTACGGTCCAATTTTATAGTTCTATCATTCTATCAGTGTATTGTATCAAAAAATATATATAATAATAATAAACTATTACATAAAAGAACCAACCAAATGGAAGGGTGAAAGGGAGAGAAACCGGCGAACGATGCGGGCAGTATCGAGGAGCATTGCCTTAGGCATTTGTGCTTGGAGCGATCCGTCCCGGAGTCCTAGTCGCTTCAGGTGTTTGGAGAGGCTGACTGGGATCAACCCATTCGCAGACACGACTATCGGGATAATTTCAGTCAACACACCACCCCACATGTCGGTCACCTCGTTAGCCAGGTCCAGATATTTCTTCTTCTTCTTATCTGTTTCGGCTTTTGCGAGGTTCTCATCATATGGAATGGTAATGTCAATTAAAAATATCCGCGACAGTGCCCGGTTCAACGCGATATCAGGTTTGTTCGGGAGAATCGTCCTGTACGTGATGATGGGCTTGTCCCAATATTGCCTGGTGCAGTCATTTTCGAGCACAGCCTCCTGATGGTACTTGTAGCACGGCTATATGTTTTTATTTATTTATAAATCCACCCAGAGGAGAAAACAAATAAATATTCAGCAATAATTAAGTATTTAAACATTTGAATGTTGTCAGCAGATAGTGCAAGACGCGCTGGACCGCGCCAGCGAAGGTCGCACTTGTCTCATAATAGCCCACCGCCTTACCACTATACGTAATGCGGACATCATCTGCGTCATAGACAAAGGAGTGATAGCGGAGATGGGCACGCATGCAGAACTAGTCGCAAGGAAGGGGATCTACGCGAAACTCTACGAGTTGCAATGCGGCATCGTGGAGGAAGCCGAGGAGAACATAGAAAGTGGCGTGGATTAGGGCAACTGTTGATGTTTTTGGTAGTATTACCCTATTTTAAACTGGAACATAGAACATGACAAGCAATTAGTGTTACCATATTTTAAACTGGAACACGACATGGAACATGATGGTGTGTATGAATTTTTCATTTGGTGAACAAGAACAGTATATAAAGGGTCACTTTATTAGAAAATTATGTTCATGTTCTATCTATATTCCTATTTTTGTGAGAGCTGTATTATTTACGAGTTTTTGTTTTGTAGGAAGGTTTTGTAATATGTTTAAATTAATTAAAATGAACATAACAACATAAATTTTGTTTTATCATACCCTTGTAAAAATTATTTATATTTGTCGATATTCATATTATTTGCGATAGTTCTTAACATAGTCGTTAGTATTTGACACTACTGAACCACCGTAACACTTATTTTATTATTTAATCATTAATGCCTGATTAATAAAATGTCTTTCGTTCAGAAGTTACGGTTACATACTACTGAACGGGCTCCGTATATCCGTCCCTTTTAATAAGGGTCTCAAGTCAAACAGGACACAATCGACCTATCTCGGTATACCAGGAGAGCAGAACTTCTCAGGAGATTCTAATATTAATATTTTTTAAGAAAATAAAACAATAACATATTAATATCATTTAATAAATTATTCCATTTTACGCACCACTGAACCAAGAAATACCTTCAATATATCGGATACAATAAAATTGCCTATTGTAAATAAACACTTACTCTTAAACTTTAACGGAAAAAAAATATAAAACAAAAATAAAACATATTCCGAAATAAAATTATCTCAAATGTAACGTGCAGTTCGAAATAGAAAAGGAATTGACAAGCAGCCATTCCCACACTAAGAATTTTCATTTTATCAGTTTCACCATATACAAAAGATTCCTATTTAATGATATTCATACAGATTTTAAATTCCCTGAAAATTATTATTGAACATTTCCTAACATCCATCGCTGTTATGTTCACAATACCCGAACCTAGTGTGGTCATTGTTAGATAACTCCATCTACAATGACTTCTATTAAACCAGAATACCAAAGAAATTATTCAGAAATACAAACAACTTATTCGGTATTGTAATGACAATATCAATACTACAGTGTTGATGCTTAATTTGTGGTACGCTTCAGTCACTTTCACATTGACTTTAACAATATCATAAAGTGATACCTCTATTTAGCTATGGGGATAAAGATATTGTGGGCACTTGAGCGGGATTTTCAACATTATAAAGTTGCTCGAAAGTCGTTAATTGCGTGGCGCCACTTCGTAGTGTTGTAGAGGTGCTCCGGGGTGCAAGCCACGGATGTAGGGCTCCAGATTGTTCTTGTATATGTCTGCAGATAGCTCCTCGACGTCGACTTCGGGCTCCGTCTTGGCCTGTTTCGTTGCCTCGTCCACTTCCTTTCGCACTTGAGCGTCGATTTCCTGCAAAGGTTCATCAAAGATATTTAATCTGTTTGCCTATTGGGCTGGCTTTTGTGAACAGAAGTACAATGTGCAGGTCTGCTCCCATTGTCTTGCTTCGAAATATAATCACTTAAAATTATATGATAGTACTTACTAAGCCATCATTGTTACATACTACTTGACGTTATTACAAGCATTTAACCAACATAAACTTTTATCGCATCAATCATAGGGTCAATTGTAGGCTGATATTTCAGGATTTTAGCGAGTTGTAATCTGTATTTATATGAATTGAAAACATCAAAAATTTAAATCCTTTTGTAAGTTTTAAGTAAATAACTAACATACATTATGCGCAAGATGTTGAACCGTAAGTATGTATAGAAAATTATGCATAATGTAATCATTGAAACGCCAAATAATAAAGTGTACTAAGGATAAAATATACGATACCTAAGTGTATAGGCACATGCAGGTATACTGTTGATAACAAACCAATCGGGAAGTGTCACTCATACGCAACATAAAGCGCCCTAGTTCTTTCATAAATGAGAGAAAGAAAGAGATTTATTTGACATAAAACATAAAAACAGCATACTGTTTTTACCGTATAATTTTCTAATTTAGTAATCTGTGAATAGTAATCAAAGCTATTTGTTGTCATTCAGTGCCTTTAACAGCCTTCTTAGCAACATTTCTACGGGATCAATTATGCTTCAATACTATTCATAACGATACCAACTATTATTGTCAAACAAAACGTTTGTGGTCAAGTTACACTACCTTCAGCTGATCCGGCGTTACCAGCTCCCTGCTGAGGATCTTCTCCTTGAACGAGGTGATGGGGTCCCTGGTCTGGCGCACCTCCTGAACCTCGTCGCGGGTTCGATACGAGGTGCCCGGATCAGACATAGAGTGTCCGGAATACCGGTACGTTTCCATCTCCATCACCAAAGGTCCTTCACAGACAAATTATAATTGCTTTTGTAAAATAAAAATAAGTCGACATAAGTACATATTCCAATACCAATTACATAAATCAATGAATAATAAAATTATTCAATGAGCTACATTTTTATTGCCAACAAAGCTTTTCTAGTAAACTTTGAAACCCAAACACATTCTAATCAGCTACAAATAAATTTGTAATTTGATAGAACCAATAAGCGAGAAGCTTGAAAGCATGTGTTGCAAGTGAACAATTGTAGTTTTCTTTATAAATAACAGGCATCTTCTTTTTTTTTTAAAATTATATTCAGTTGAATCACTACTTCAACTTATAATTGCTTTCAATCCGTAGACTATTAAGCTTCATCAAACATAGAATTTGTGGTTTACCCAGAACACGCGAGGTTGATACGGTCCTCCGCGTTTGGGGACACGCGTGTTATATTTAACAATACCTTTCCCACTGGTGCAATAGTCGATCGCGTAGCGTGTTGCCTCCCTGGTAGCGATAACATCCATACCATCAACCCATATTCCGGGAACATAGTCTCCACGAGAGTAATAATCCGTGCTTGCTGATGACCTGTCCACACTTGTGCCCATACCTGAAATTAATTTGCCACAGTTGTTACTGAAATCTTAATTTTCGAATGTCATGACACTGTAACTGAATATTCATTTAAACAATGTATCAGACATTAAACTTTTCAAATATTCTTAGGTAAATTTACCTTTGTTGATAGGGTATAAGTCAGATTATGTTAATGTTTACTTTTTTTTAATTATGAAGATACTGGTGGTTTATCAAATAGCCAGTATAATATGGTGTACTTAATATAATTCAATATTATTTAAAAAAAGTTTAATATTAAAAAAATTGCAAAGGAATTTTTACAATATTGAATAATTCATATAATTACTGTTAATATTGAATTTTTTAATGTCTATGGACAAACACACTAAGAAATATTAAGGAAGGAATTATTTGTACAAGAATGCACTTCACGGCTTTGGAACTTACCATATCCATTGTTTTCACAGACAAACACACAAGGCAGATCCCACAGCTTGGCCATGTTGAAAGCCTCATACAGCTGACCTTGATTGGCTGCTCCGTCTCCATAGAGGGCGAAATTTACTCCACCATCACCTCGGTATTTGTGCGCTAATGCAATACCAGCTCCAAGTGGTGTCTAAAGTATTGTAAGAAATAACTATATATACCTAATGAATAGATCAATAATTACACTTATGACTGAATAACTATTTACTAGCCTTATTATGACCAACTATAGGTTCAAAAAATCTTGTAAATTGTAAACTTACTGACTTTTGAATAACTGGAATGGGTTCTTGTAATCACTCGGGTATTTAATTAGTTAGCTGTGTGAATATTTTCCACTTAGTTATTAAGAAATCAATTTATAAACACATACACACCTGAGCACCAACAATACCATTGCCGCCATAAAAATTCCTGCCATACAAATGCATAGAGCCTCCTTTGCCACGGGAACAGCCAGTTCTGCGCCCTGTCAGTTCTGATAACACACCTAATACGCTAACACCCATGAGATGAGTCCACCCATGGCAACGATAGGCAGTGATGACAGTATCAACATCACGCATGGCTGCTCTCATCCCAACGGCAACGGCTTCTTGACCTGATCATCCAAATATTTAATTTTTATTTAAATTTGAACAATTTAATGAAAATATAAACTTTTCCTAGCAAAAACTGTATCACATTAAAAAAAATATATGACTGCAGTTTCTTGCCGGTTCTACTCTTGCAGATCTAGTTTAGTGAACTAGTTTTTTTAAATTCCATAAGAGCTTAAAATAAGCCTGTGTGGAATAAAGAAATTATGACTGACATTTTTCTAGCATTGCATTAATTGCAGCTTCCCCTGTTGTACAAATGCGAACTCACTGCAGAAGTGTTATAATTTCACATTGCCTCTAGTGAGAAGTAACAATTTTATTTGAAGGTTGGCAACAAATCTAAAATCCTCAGATGTTTTAGATGTATCTAAACTAAAGTAGGAGCCTATACAATGTATTTTTAACTGCTGTGTAAACACCTCCACTGTACAAAGGGTTATTAGTTGTGGGGATGCTTGGTAGTCCACCAAGCATCCCCACAGCAGATTGGCAGCCTTCAGATATCCTGGAAATACATGTGTTGGCCCTGATAATAGCTTAAAATCATAGGGTTGCCAATGTTCCAATAAAAACAAAAAAATAAGTCGTACCTGAATATAAGTGGCAGAAACCACGAATAATCTTCTCTTTGTACAAATTCCCTGATGCCGTTTCAATTCTTCGTAGCACTGCAAGTTTCTCATATATTTTGAGGGCATCTTCAGAAGAAAGAGTAGCTGATGTTGCAGGTCCCTTCTCCAATTTGTGGAGTTTATAGGGCTAAAACAAATAATCATGTTGATAAACATTAAATAGTTGTTATAAATACATATCTATTTTCCATCTTCAACTTTTTAAACTTGATGTAATATGAATTCCTTTAACATTACAATAAAATTATAATTCAGTAAATAATATACAACATTTAATGGTGTTATCTAGTTACAAAAATTATGAGTACTGTTAATTATTTCTTCCTATTCTTTCCTTTTTTATCTGTTTCTTTCTTTCTTTTAAGGTTTACTGTTTATTAGTTAAAGATAACACATGATAATAAAAGTGACAGTAAAGTCACTTAGACTTGACATTTGAAGGTTAGGTTACATAATTTTAGGCTTAAAAAATTCCTTTATAAACTTATGAACCGAACATTTTATGGTATTTATACGTCACTTTAAAGATGAATAATTAATGTAAAATAATATTGTCATCACATATAATATTCAAATACCTTAATTTCGAAAGTGGCTTCAGTTTTAGTGCTGAATTTAGAGTTTGACGTCGTCACTACCGGGGCGGCCGTTTTCTATAATTAAAACATATAATTCTTTCACAAATTGATCACACTTTCTTTACTGAGCTACGTGTAAATTTAAAAAACAACTAACCGTGACTGTAGTGCCGGCAAGAAATTTGGCAGCGGAAGGAAAAAGTTTACTCATTTTGTCTTGTAATTTTTTTATGAAACCCAGATTTAATTGTGATCCAATATATGGATCGTTTTGAAGAGGAGATAGTATACCCTATAATCAAAAACGATCCGTCCCCAGATGACTTAAGCTGGAAATGACATTGAGTGTCAGTCAGGTCAGCATCATTTTACATCTTGACAGTTAAAACTCGTCGGGCAGGACAAAAGGTCATTCTCTGTTTACCGACAGTTTACCCTGTGTTCGAAAATGTTGCATTAAATAATAAAAATATAAATACAGTTTTTTTTATAAATAAACTAAGATTATGATTGTTTTTAATATATGTGGACTAGCTAGAAATAAAAAAACCGCTGACGGAACGATGAACATTTGCGAAAAAATAAACAATTTACGATCGGGGTCGGATCGATCATAATGCAATAAAAGATGCCTTATAATAAATAATCATAGTTTTAGGAAAATGTGCAGTTAACTTTATTTAATAAATACAGTTAACTATAAATAAGGAAGAAACAGTACAAATGTCTTTCTCAATTAAAATATAAAATGTAATCTAAAGACAAAATATCTATAGTATTTAAGAACATTCTTTGTTATTTTCGCAGCCTAAGATTGGCATGTTTCAAAAGTTGGTTCGGTTGGGTGCCCCTTATAAAAGGGTGTAGATTTGAATAATAGATATCAGCAGTCAATTCTTCTGGTTCGGCCTCAGTATCCGTTTTAATCCTTTTGACAATTTCATCCATTTCCTTTCTTATGCGGATGTCAATTTCCTGTGGTTTCCAAAACAAACATAAATACAGTAATTTATATCATAAGTATATTGTATATCGTTATCTATGTAATGACACGTAATATCTAATTTTAAAGTACGGCCTCAAAGATAAGCAAAGTAGAATATTTATAAATTTTGTATTTTGTTTCGTTATTACGTCAAGGTAACAAAGGTTCACCCTTTTCGAGCTTGCGATGCAACTGCGACCAGGGTGTTGTTGATAGCAACTGTGCAACGGTAATCACTAATTACTAAAAATCACTTAAACCGCCGGCTTACCTGCCAACAAGAGTCGAAGTACCGGCGAAAATGTTTGCTAGCATTTTCATCATCATCGCAGGTCACTTTACTTACGTACTAAACCAAAATTAATGAACTGTTAAATATCAGCATCTTCAAGTCTGTCGCACGCACGATCGCAAGTGTCCGCGTCTATCTTGCTACATGAATTAAAATATGAAGATTTAAAGTTTTTATTATACCTTAAGCTGGACGGCCGTCGCCAGTCCCTTACTGGTTATTTTATTTTTAAACATGTTGATAGGATCCTATTTCTCTCGACGTGCCTTCACCTCGTCACGGCTCCAGTACGATGTGCCCGGATCAGACGTTGAGTGGCCAGAGTAACGGTAGGTTTCCATCTCCATGATTAACGGCCCTTCAGTATAAATTATTCATTATAAAAAACAAGTACTTAGCCTTCTTTGTTAATAGCTCTCTCCATATTTTAATTTTTTGACACATGGTGAGTTGCTTGGCCAGGCACAAATTACCGAAAGTGTAAGTGCCTTGCACCGTCAAGTCCAACTTTCCGGCCACTGAGCCATAATGTTTAATATCTTGTGCTACTCTCACCATCCACAACTTGTATTTTCCTCCCCCATAGCACTATAGACAAAAGCTGATTTGAAATAAATTTTTAGAAAGGTATTATCCTGTTTTACCCAATTGTGAACGGGGCTAAATACAGAACGTCTGCACGACCAGGTAGTCTAATTACATAATAATGGTCGAATAATGGTTTCACCAACCTTTTCCACTGGTACAATGTTCTATTGCGAAGCGAGTAGCTTCCCTGCAAGCCAAAACGTTCATTCCATCGACCCAAAAGCCGGGAATGTAATCACCGCGCTTGTACTCAGTGCTAGCCGAAGATCGCGAGGCCGATGTGCCCATACCTTGTGTAGATAAGTAATCATCATCATCATCATTTCAGCCTGTTTGAGTCCACTGCTGAACATAGGCCTCCCCCATAGACTGCCACGAAGTACGATCCTGAGCCACCTGCATCCATCGACTTCCCGCACATTTGCACAGGTCGTCACTCCATCTAGTGGGGGGTCGTCCCACACTGCGATGGCCAGTAAGAGGCTGCCACTCGAGAACCTTTCTTCCCCAACGGTGGAGATCACGGAGAGATAAGTAATAAGATCAAATAATTCTTACTTCAAAATTCCATAATTTATGACCCGATTTTAAAAACTCAATTTGCATTTGGTTCGGTTTAGCTCCCTTATTCTGTCTAATTTTTTTCCCATATTAATTTTATTGGTATTGGACCTTACTCCAGAGATACATCAGGAAACTCATCAAAATCAAACAGAAAATGTAGAATCACTGAATGAGATATTTGAAGTCGGTTTTGTTTTTGTTACATAAAATGTTTTACTTATTTTAATCATCCTTTTACACTTAAAAATGCCTAATAAATGCATTCATATATTAGGCCTTTTAAGTGTCCGTGGACCCTATACATTATTTAAAACGGCTCGGCAGAGCCACATATTATGCACTTTTTCGGTTAAGGTTTTATTTTTGAGGGTACGGTAGCAGTTCACTAGATGTATAGTGATCACCATCACCTATGGACATACAAAAAGCTGGTAGGTTTACATTTGCATCTTACAAGGGTAGTCCGCGATTACTTCACTTTTGTCTCATACAAAACGCAAAGGTTATACTACTTTTACTTCTGTAACACTGGTACTGGCCGGCCCCGATAAAAGTGATTGGGGTTTTCTTTGGCGTGGTAATCAGCTATACCTTAATGGTTAAAACGTCTGGGTACGATTTCAGAAGACGCTGGTTCGAAGTAGCTGGGTAATTCCAACTTAACCGTTGTTTTGACCTAAACATTATTAGTCATCCATTTGGGCCACAATTTCAGCTCACCGTATTTATTGTTCTCGCAAACGAACACACAGGGCAGGGTTAAGAGTTTGGCCATATTGAAGGCCTCAAAGACCTGGCCCTGGTTGGCAGCGCCATCCCCATATAAAGCGAAGGTGACCCCGCCATCGCCACGATATTTATGCGCGAACGCAAGACCAGCCCCTAATGGTATCTCATGAATGCAATCGAATAAGATTACCATTGTCCCGTAATCAGAAAGCTTACAAATCTATAGACAGGCGTGGATCTAGGTTTTGGAAGCAGTCAGAACAGTGTCGTAGTGTTTCCGGTGCGAGCTCCTATAACTGCGGTTGCAAAATGTTCTAATCTTAAGCGACAATGACAATAACTATTGGCCCTAAGAGCAATTATATAAGAGACTATTGAAGATAAATCTATCACCCATCTAGCACGCATAACCCAAAACTTGTCCTGGTCTAGAAATTTCGGTGCCCCTTCAGGGTTTGCACGCATTTCAAGTAGCCATATACAATCGACCCTTACACAGCTTAGGTTAATTTTGTTTGTCACCTAAACCATCATAAATGAGATTATTTCTTCTTTGGGCAGCGTGTCTTTCGGGTTCTATAAAATGGACTTAGCCTCGTAATGAGTAATAAACTCCATAATCTTCTCGGTAGTCCAAAATCCTAAATTAAGCTGAGATGTCCGCTATACTAGTTGTCTGTGCGCGGATCGAAGTGTGGCCGTGCAAACAAGGTTAATCGTTAGATACATGGGACTTTATGTTTAAGATTTTGATTCGAAGATTTCGAAGATATTTGCTACATACGTCGTGATGAACCGAATATTTGCATTTCGCAACCTAGGTCTTAGAAATAGAAATGTGTAACCGTCCGCAGACTAACTTGCCGGGTTCTACGATATAAATTTACAATCGTCAAACACCTGGGAGCCAACGATCGCGTTGCCACCGTAAAAGTTCCGAGCGTATATGTGCATCGAGCCGCCTTTTCCGCGTGAACTACCGCTCTTACGGCCTGCCACTTCAGCCAGTAATCCTAATACGCTGCCGCTCATCAGCTTTGTCCACGCGTGACAGCGATACGACGTGAGCGCAGTGTCCACTTCACGCATCGCGGAATGTATTCCCACAGCCACAGCTTCTTGACCTGACCAATTTGTTTCCTAGATCATTTCTATTTATCGTGGTTGGCAAACATTTTGAATAATGCTTTGGAATGCGCAGTAGTTGATTATTAGGTTTCATCGGGGTATCGGGAGCCGGTGGCAGGTAATATTGACCACGATTGACCTCTGCGTCGAAGTTGGACTTATCAAACCGGACCAACAGTCCTAGGTAAACTTGGTAAAGTCCTAGGTAAATTTCACTACAAATTTAATTTGAGTTTATAGTTTTCAATTCACCGCACGAATCTTCCAATGCGCTCAACATTTGAAGATTCGAGCGGTGAAGTATCGGGACATAGAGAACCATATCATTTTTGCTAAAATTTAATTTAATTATTCTAAAATAATATTATGAAATAAATTATAATATAAGTAAATTGGTTTTCACCTATATACAAGTGGCAAAAGCCACGAATAAGTTTCGCTTTATACATGCTACCCGCCGCTTTTTCCATCCTTCGCAAGACCACCATTTTTTCGTATATTTTGATTGCATCTTCTGAAGTTAATGATAAAGAATTTAGTGGACTTTTCTCCAGCTTATGAAGTTTCCATTGTCGCTAGAAAAAAATAGAAGTTAATTTAACTTGCAACATTTGATATTGCAATATAACATAACAGTGAATTAATACAGCAACTGCGTTAGACTTCTGCTTCCCAGTGATATTATAATTTAAAATATCATCATTTTTATAAAATAAGGAGCCCTGCGAAGTGGAACGAAGTTACTAACAAGATTTAATTTTTCTTTTACCAAAATCTAAATGTCGCAAATTTTTATTTCGTAGTTATTTTATCGGTTATGTTTCTCTATGGATTAAAACAAATCGTTAATATATAAGTTTGATTGTCGTATTGTAAAATAAGTACCAAGACGCCATACCTACCTCGACGTCGAATGTTGCTCTAGGCGCTGTCGAAATCTTTTTTGATGTATACAAAATCTTGAAACAAACAACACACTTCCTTCTTTCCTGAAAATTTTAATATTTTTTTAAACTTCACATACAATTAAATATCTAAAGTTTTCTAGATACAATAATAAACATTACGTACTGTTTTAGTGTGTCATTATATTGATCGTAAAATCAGAAATTAGATGACGATGACACATTGTCATATCAAAAATTCAATGCTTTAATACAACAAATATCATATATAAAACTACATATTCACCAATAATGGTATAACGGTAGGAATAATTTTGCTCATGTTAAGATCAAGTACTTAAGTATCGTAAATAGTAGTAGTAGACTGTAGAAATCAAAAAAAGTTTTAATTTATTTTTAAATTAATGTCTAACCACGCATGAGAATACGAAACATAGAGATAATAATTATATGATATTTTCTTTTACATTTGTATTTAAATAATATGTGCTGTCCTTCTTAAAGGTACCCAATATTTTAGAATATTAGCAAAGAATCAATGTCCATTAAAGTTCATTTATTAGAGCTTTCGAAACGCGCAAGGTAAATAATACAACGCTAGCGCCGCCACCCAATAATGCGTCGCCTCTTGGAAGAAGCGACCGCAGACCGAATGGCTAATATCCGCCGATGTCTCACCGTGTCTAGCGGTTACTATACATACATTATCTTCTTGTATTAACTGATGTTTTTTCTTTCAGTCCCGAGACTATTAAAGCTTCATCTGACGCAGAACCGGTGGGCTAGCCAGAACCCACAGGTTTGGGCCCTCCGCTGTGGGTAGGGCCACGCATGTGCTCATGCGTGCGTTTAACTATGCTGTGTCATCTAAGGGCCATCGAGGTCGCGGTTCGGACCGAAACTCCGATGGCCGTCGACTGTGCAATAAGCTAATCGGTGGCTCCCGGTGAACCGCCCCGGAACGCGGGTGTACCTTGTGTACGCGTTGTGTTGGTCTCGCCGTGCTCGGAGGCGAGGGCGAACTAGTGTGTTTGTTGTTGCACTAACTGTGGGTGTAGTATTGTCCGGCGGGACCCCCGGCGGTGGGTCCGGCGTATCTAAGTCTCCTTCCTCGAACGGGTCGATGAGGACGTTTCGCGGGCGACGCTTGTTGACGTTCGCGTTTGTGTCGGGTTGGTAATTTGCTGCGCTTACCACCAGAGGGTTGGGATGATGTTCGGCTCTATCGAAGAACCGTTTGGTCAGGTCTTTAAAATATTCGCGAATCGTCGGGAGTCTGCAATCGCTGTGCAGGTCGACGTTGCGTTGATACCACTGCGCACCGGTTGCGCGGCGGATGAACTTATTTTGTACTATTTGCAACTTGTACAAGCGAGTTGGGTGCGTGTGGGCGAAGGTCATTCATGCGTAGGACATAATAGGTCGTACGCAGGTCTTATATAACAATAATTTGTGCCTTAAGGGCATTTTACTTTTAGAGTTAGTTAAATTGTGTAGCCGGCCGGAGACGAACGCGGCTCTATTTCGAACGTTATTAATGTGCGTATTAAATGAGATACATGAGTCGAAAGTGACTCCTAAGTATTTGACCTTTTTCTCCCAGGGGAGCGGTTGTACTTCGTGTGAAGTGAATCGCCACACTCTTTTCGGGATTTATTTCTATTCTCCATTTGCGGAACCAATCGCCGAGGCGGTCGGCGGCGCTTTGGAGTCAAGTGGTTAGTTGACTAAGGTTGCGATATGAATAAAAGAGCGCCGTGCCATCCGCGAAAAGCGCGAGATTGACGTGGGGGTCTTTAGGTATATCGCTCGTGTAGAGCGTAAAGAGCAAAGGTGAGAGGCAGGAGCGTTGTGGTGCGCCGCCCGTGAGGCGGCGGCTTGTGGAGCGGCTTGTGCCTTCAACTCGATATCGAAAAGAGCGGTTCGACAGGAAGGCCCGGATGGTGTGTACGAGCCTATCTGGAACTTTGAGTGTGTACAACTTGTAAAGCAAGCCGTTGTGCCAGACCTTGTCGAAAGCTTTTGCGACATCGAAGAAAAGAGCCCCTGTACTAATATGTTTAGAGTGATTTAGGCCTTTTAGGATATGTTCCGTTAGGCGGAATAGTTGATCGGGACAGGAATGTCTAGCTCGAAAGCCGAATTGTTCCGCCGGCAGAAGGCCGTTGGAAAACACGTGCTCTTTGAGCCTCTTTAATAAAAGCCGCTCGTAGAGCTTCCCCAGGCAACTGAGTAGGCTGATGGGACGATAACTAGAGGGCTGGTTGGCTGGTTTATTCGGCTTGCGACTGCCGATAACCGTGGCTTCTTTCCAGTCGTCCGGAAAGGAGCAACTGGAGAGTAAAGTATTGCATACATTATCAAACACAAACATGGATCAGCGCAATCGACGGCGATTGCGAGGTCCCGGATAAGCAGCTTATACACTATGATGTATATGGAGTATGTTCCCGTGTAACAGGCCACTTTTGAATCACTTACACCGTGTTGTTATTATTATTTAATAGTGAGTCTGGATACGTTCATTTGATCATTGAATAGTGAAGCGAAGCCTTTTATTTCCATTGTCCCTGCGAATTAATTACTTTCGTGAACCTTGTGGTCCTTAATGTGTGTGTGGTCCTGTAACCCTAAATGAATAATTCTCGTTAGATAATTATTTTTATAAATGTAAATTAGTTGTTTTCGTGATTTGTTATAATCAAATTGCCCATCTTTCATTAACAGAGGTCGCGGAGATTCAGTAAAGCGAACGTTAAAAATGTTCTGTACAACCTTATAAAACAGTTTATGGGGTTAGTAACATATACATATACCATCATAAGTATTAAGTAACAAAATATATCCCTAAAAAGTCAAACGCTTTTCTTCGTACAATAAGCTTAAAAACAGCCACTTCTAAATACAATAGTTTTTCTACTATGATGGCGTATTTTTTTTTAATTCACATACTATTTTCGTAATTTTCTAGAAATTTCCTGTCTTAAACAATTGCTCCGTAAACATGTTTGAATAATCTGTCAAAAACTGTCGTTTCATCTTTGCAATGGAATGGATGGAATGACTAATGTAAAGCCTAACACATATAAAGGGTGAAATCTGAAAGCGTTTCCTAGTTCCTAGTCACAATTAAAGACGCTATCACTGAGGGTATTGTGAAACGTTGAAGATTTATTAAAATAGCAAAATGGAGTTTCCCCATATTGGAAAAAACTGTTCTTATTCTACATGCAATAAGTTAGGTAAGTGTAGTTTCACTTTTATGCAGTGTTACTCTTTGTTTCATTACGTTCTGTTGATTTTATAACGATATTAAAGATAACGTACAGAAAAATAACTATTGATTAATAACATTTACCATATTATCATTTGCTGACAGATTTCCTGCCAATGAAATGTGGTTGCTTGCAAACTGATTTTTTGGTAAGATTCGAGATTTTCGCCATTTCTATTTAAAATATTTATCACTTAGTGTCCAGATGTTAAGGATGCTAAATAAATAACTTGTTACAGTAATATTCAACTAATAAGATGACAGTAGATAAAGTTTCTTCAATGTTCATAAATGGAACAAAGATATCACATACAAATACGAGGTAGATATGACAATAGCCCACCGAAAATGAGGCAAATTACGGAAATTGGTGTAATATAAGTATATCCCTATAAAATTAAAGAATATGTTCAAATTTAGAGTTTACATCATTTTTGAGGATATCTGTATCCTCAAAAATGTGTAAAACCATTCAAATGTGGATATTAGTTTCAACCAATATTTAATACAAATTATAATGCTGAAATTAATTTTTTTTCCAATTTCACAATAATTTTATCTATTGTCATAATGCTACCATAATTCTTACTAATTTTGATAAAACTTATGTTTCAAAGTATTTTTTCTTTTCAAATTGCACATTTTTTAAATTACTTATTACCTTACCTTAATTTTGAACTACTTTACTTGTTATTAGAATATATCAATTATGGTAAATCTCTAGTGTGTCCATCGATTGATCACACTTTAATATTTTCAACTCATCAGACCCTGAACTTGATTAGTAAATTATCCTTGATACACAGGTTGTTTTCCTGTACTGTATATACATAACTCAATTTTCACCATTTACGGCAGTCATTAAATTGTTGAAAGATAATTTTTATACTAATTCATTAAGTTTGGTATAAAATATTTTTTGGTATAAAATATTATTTATGTCATCAAATACCATATTACTGCAACTACTACTTTTTTAATCATTTTACTTAATATCCTCTATCTGCATTTTTATTAAATTTGATAGTCAATTTTTTATTTTTGTCTTATCATTTATTTTTATGCTTCTAGCTCTGAACACTTTCAATATGTTAAACATGAGTGTTCTGCTCCAAATGTTAGAGATATCCCAAGTACCAGATTGTCCGCTTTGTGGTGCACCAGTACCCGGACGACGGGGTGAACCCCCTGATGTTGCTGTCAGCCAACATATTGACAATCAGTGCACTTCAGACCCTGCAAAGGAAAGAAGAAAAAAGGTGATTATATTTATTCATTGCTCGGTTCTTAACAACTATGTTAAACATATATTTTTAAATGTTGTGTGTTAATTTTAGTAACAAAAAACAGTACAACAAACAGTTTTAAAAACAAATTTGCTAGATGGTTAAGGGTTAAGTTATGCAATATTATGAACTTAAAACTTTTCAGAAATACATACTTATTAATTTAATAAAACAACTTTTTCAGAAAGCTTATTTGAATTTGTAATTATAAGTACTTTTTAATATAAAACCAAATACTTACATTAAAATCATAGAAAACCACTGATAGCATTATTATTATGCACCTTTTGTTACGCATCTATATCATATACACAAAATTACCGTAAATAATAGTCCAATTCTGAGGCAAGATATCTAAAACATCAAAACAATATTTACATTGTTTATGTATATATATTATATTTGACATGCAATTGATGATCTATATAAATTTGTATTTCTTTTTCAGGTTTTTACAAACAAGTGTTCCTATAAAGGATGCAAAACTAAGGAAATGGTGCCTTTAATTTGTAAAGAATGCTCCCTCAACTACTGTCTTAGGCATCGGCATACTACAGACCATGCATGTGAAGGAAAACTAGCTGCTAAGAGAAGACAAGCTGCGTAAGTTCAACTACTTCATTGACTTGGATGTCGATCTTAACAATTTCAAGGTTGTGTTTCAGAACAATGAGTTTTCTGTTTTCTTACAAACCATATTTACTGTCTCAAATGTTTGTTCTGTGTATGGCAACAAACCTATCCAAATTTCTTAATTACTCCAGCTCTCCCCACTTTTCCACAGCAAGCAAATCACCTTTCTGAACATACAGCACTTAAAAATATAGTTGTCTTTTAAAACTTAAATAACTTAATATTATGTGAAGATGTCACAATATTTCTTTAAATAAAGGCCTGAGAAATAAAACTTGAACATAAAACATTAAAATCTTTCGAGCAGTTTTTTCCAATATCTGCGCACATTTGTTTATACATTTTATTTATGTAAAAATGCTCATTTCAAGTAACACTTGGGTTAATTTGAAATAATATCATATGAAATATTTTTTTATTCCAAAGGAATGCTGCTATGGCCAGAATGAAAGCAAATGCCATAAATATCAGCCAAAACACGCAACCAGTATCAGCACCAGCCACAGCTTTCTCAGAAGTACAAGGAAATATGGTAGGTCCGAAGCAGAATAATACAGTTTAAAAAGATTATTAGTATAGTGGTAAAATATTACTTGGGAATATGTTTTTTAGAATTTGTATAACAATTTTAAATTATTTTCTTTCCCTAATTTAAACTGTTTCGTTATACCAAGATATTTGTAGTTTTTCCTGCATGTGGGCACATGACTTGCAAATTTCAAAGTAACTTTAACCTAATGGTTTTTCGTGTTTGTGCGATAAATAATAAAACTAATTTACGGATTTTATAACAGTGTATTTTTACATAAACTCTTTCATATATTAAAAAACATATATGGTCATAAAGCAGACTGAAATTTTGTCTAGTTTTGTTCATTGCCATTATCTTGGTGTTGATTTAAACTCTGTAATTAAGTCAAAAAAATTAAATTGTAATATAGCCTTATTACAATTTAATTACCGAAAGTAAGACAACAGCTGATAAATTGGTTTTTCAGCCAATATTTACTCTTTTGAATGCCGTAATGACATTGTGAAACATGCTTACGTTGGCACAATCGAACTAAACACAATAGGAATTCATGCTGCAAGTGAACCGTTATTTACGTTTTTTTAGCGTTTTTTTATCTAGTTGGTATTGTTGATCGAAGATCGACCCTGACCTAGCTTGCATTGATTTAAGCTAAAAAATATAATTCTTTCAGACGGAAGATGAGGCACTAGCGCATGCACTTGCACTTTCTATGCAAGAAGGAAACATTCACACTGAAGAGCCAAACTTTATGCGTACCCTTATAAGACAGAGGGTTGGCGGCGAACAAAACTCAAGATGCTCTGTTTCTTAGCACTCTGATGTTGAGAATGTAATGATAACTCATTCAATGTAACACTAATGGTACACATAGACTTAAGTTAATGTGGGGCACATAAAAGACTTGCGTACAAACATTTTCCATTGAAAATGCGCATTTTCCATTTTATTGTTCGTGTTTAGAGTGAATCTATGATCTTATGTTTACTATATAAACCAAGTGCATATATATTTATGAGATCCCTATTTTAAGTCACTATTTAATCAGCATAAAAGTCAATAATGGTACATTTCATGTAACAAAATATCAGGTGTCATCAGTTGACAAAAAGGAAAATATGCTAGTTAGCCGCTTATTATGCTCAGGGGTCTAAAAAATCAGATAAAAATAAAAGTTTAAGAATATTAAAATAATATTTATAAAAGGGCTAATTTAAGTAAGGATTCTCACATAAACACAGAAACCTAAAAATTCCATGAACTTGGTATTTTTGCATCTATTTATCTATGAACTTATACAAATCTCTAGAAATCTGGTTGGCTATTGTTATTACATTGAAGAGTGATTCATAAACCCTTGTTATTGTACAGTTCTTATTCCAATATTTATATAATTGCGTTATTTAATCTATAATTCGTAACTGTTTTCGGTTATCAAAAAATATTTTCTTTACTCTGTCCATGTTGTACCAATCTAAAGTAACATTTTGAATAATAATAAAAACAGTATATCAATTATAAATACCAGTAGATTGATAATAATTTTAAAAATGGGTTATTTTATAATATCTTTATATAGCAGCTATATCTATCATAGCTAGCTAACATAAAATTATTGTTACATATATTTATGTTAGATTAGTATTTTTGATTACGTTATAAACTGTGCTTGTAGTTTTCACATAAAACAGCAGTGTCTAAACATAAATAATGTTATAATTTAAATTTTTGATCACCACATGAAAATTTGTTACTTAAGTATCTTTTTGTAGTAGTACTTGCTTAAAAATACTAATAATTGCTCTGATATGCATTTTACAGATGTTACTGCTATAAAAATAATACTCACTCTTTGGGACATTATTGATTTATTAATTGTATTACTTTAAAAGATAATCGAAAGAAGATTGACGATTAAATCAATGGTGCTATTTCCATGTTAATCTCAACAGGTTGTTATTTTACATTCCTGTCAAAACAAACCATCAAACTGTCGAATCACTGTAAGAAAGACAAAATATTAAAATGTATACAAATTCATCACAATAAACTTGGTAGCTAGTAAACTGCAGGTAGTCATGATTTGTTTTTGTCTGTTAAAACTCGATTCGAAGATTCATTTAATAAAACTTGCTGTGATTATTGTCAATGTGTTTTGGTTAATGAAATATATTGTACAACTTTTATGTAATTTTCACCAATTTAAAATTCACTGAAGCACATTCTCACACAGTCTACACTATTTTCATGTGATTTAAAAAATTATTAAATTTAAAAATAAAAATATTTTTGAGAAAAATGTTAAACAAATTCTCGTTAAATATTCGTTTTATTTCATAACCACCATAATTATTCATTCTAACAATAAAGAACTAAATAAAACAGTAAAATAATAACAATAAATATAGGAATCAAATTTTTTGAAGTGCATCCAAAGATTCTTCACGTGATATTTAGTTATGAGATTGTTCCTACAATTAAACAACATTAACTAACCTTAATATTAAAAATAAAAGTTAAAAAGAAACGAAATAACACTCTTTTGTAACCAAATTAAAAAGTAGTAAACAATTAAGTAATTAACAAAAATTCTTTTATTGTAGAAACATGGTGCTTGGAGTCAATTGTTATATTTCAATGACAGACATTGGTAATTCTTCAAAATCAAAATCATTACTAAAATATATTAAAAAGCTTACCCATGCTTATCTAAAATAAAAGATTTTTTTAACTATTTTTAATTTTCTATTTTTTAGTTCTGCGCGTCATAAAAGCGTGTTATTTACTTCTGTCGGATATCGAATTTGGAAAATCGCTAATCCTGAAGACCCTGATTAGAGACCATAATTTTAATTATTGCATTGTCATCAGTCGTTGATAAGTGCGCAAAATTTAAATTTAATTGGACGTTTTGAAGTGGGTCAAAATTACGTTCAAAAATTCCGTCAGTGCCGGACTAACCTCGTAGCAAGAGTAGCAATTGCTATCGGCCCGCGCATCTATACGTGAGAGTAATTTTTTGAGTAAAACTTATTAATTAAGAATATTGAATTGTTTTTTACCACTTTATACTTAAGAACCCATAGCAAATAAAGGGATCTTTGAAATAATTTGCTACGGGCCCCGCGCTTGCTTAATCCGGCACTGGATTCCGTTATATATACAGCGTGTCGTTACAACCGCGACAATAAATGAATACACATATAAAGGATAAATTTTTAAAACTGTATTAAACATTTACATTATTTAAACATCAATATTTAACAAGTTATTAAATTTTCCAAAACAAACAATTTTAGAACACCCTTACCTGAAAAACTGTAACGTAAAATTCATTTGTAAAGGTCACGAAGCATATCAAAACATCCTGTTACAAGGAGATTTGTACTGCGACGCTGTGGTAACGAATGAAAAATTCTCTGAATGTATGAATCAGTCAGTTGTAGTTGTATAGGATGTTACAATTACAGTCTTCAGTATTGTCTAATTTTAATGCGACTCAAGTCTTACGTTATTTGTTGTAAAAATAACTTGTTAATAAATTAATGCTTGTACAATTTGTCTTAGGTCTAAGCTTACTGCAGGAACTATCGTTTAAAAAAATAACAATTCGTAAATTTAAATTTGGTCCCCTTATAGTCAATATCGAACATATTTCGACCTTTAATTTTTTGTCTCTTAAGCTTATAAATTCTAAGGAGTCTGCAGATATTTTTGGTACCAATTTTTTGGATCAAATGCTTAGAGGATATTTCAAAGCTATCAAAAACTAATGAACTACTATATTTATGTATCAATGGACTTCAAACATTAATTCCTTTAACCAAATTTAAAACTAACTTACAACCTCTGGTTTGGCATGAGAAGTACATTTTAATTTCCACTATAGTTTTCTCTTTATGATCGATAAATATTAAACAAAAAACAACAATAAAAAATATAATAATTTTGATTTATATACGCCTGTCGTCGTATTTATTTCTTGGATGGAAACCACTACCCGTACCCGTTTTCGTTAGTTTTCCCGCCCTCTCTAGCATGCATAGGTCAATATTGAAATGTTTTTGTTGTTTTATTAATCTTTGAAAATCAGTTTTTTGTGAGAAAGAGGCCAGCGAGGCTGTTGCGTGGTACTACCACATTTCAAAACATATATTTAAAAAAAAAAATTTACCTGTTTATAATATTAGTGTGGACCCAAGTTCTCAATGTCGTCCAAGCGTATCCCTGCTGTTTCCAAAGGTATGTAAAAACTATTTTATTAAAACAAATTCATTACAGTAACAGGATAATTTGGTTATTATAATACGCATGATTTGGTTACTTATAAATGTGAGAACAGTTGTCTATTGTACTATGTAACAAATAATTTGTATTTATATTAATTGGCCCACTTCATTTAAAGGTGGCAACGCACTTGCAACACTACGGGTGTTGCCAATGTCCACGGGTGGCAGTTATCACTTAACATCAGGTGAACCGTCAGCTCGTTTGCCACTTTCTCACATAAAAAAAAAAAACATCGAAACATAGATATAATAAATAACCAACGTAACCATTCGTTGTCGGAAGCACCTTAAGGCCCGCTTCACAGGTTGCTCGCCAGCGCCTTGTTGTGGAGGGTCCTGAACTTGTGGTTGTCGTTCAGGTAGCTGGTGATGAATTCCGGCGGCTTGCGGGTGTAGAACAGCTCCAGGCTCATGTATCTCGCCGCGGTGAGGCGTTTCCGCTCGGCGGCCGATCGACAGAGATTCCTGTGTGCCCGCGAGGCGAACTGTGATGCCACCTTCTCCACCAGGTTCGGAGTGACCACTTGCTCAGGGTCGTCCTCTAACGGTGTCTGGGCAATTTAATTTTTAACAGATTATACAGACCTTCAAACGAGCAATTCTTGTAAATATGTATGCAGTGTGATTTTTTAGACGAAGTACGCACTATGACATAATATTAATTGAGCGTTCCATAATTCAAGAAAAATATTAATATTTTATTTTGACAAGAAATAAGCAGAAAAATATCAATTCAAACACTACTTAAAAATAAGAAAGAAAATTATACTATATGGAACTTTCACTCTGACTTAAATGTGTATACAGCGACAGCTCAATGAGCCATTAAAGTTGTTCCTTTCTTATTCCATATTTTATAAGAGATAAAATACAGCTAGCGTTCTTGGCACGATGCCGCGTCCTGTTCTAGGTTTATTAGATATTATGTAATTTATTTTGATCACTACATAGTATAAAACAAAGTCGTCTCGCTGTCTGTCTGTCCCTATGTATGCTTAGATCTTTAAAACTACGAAACGGATCTTGATGCGATTTTTTTTTTACTAGACAGAGTGATTCAAGAGGAAGGTTTATATGTATAATATATTGCACCCGTGCGAAGCCGATGCGGGTCGCTAGTGTTGTATATATAGGATAAATTATTTTAAAAAAGAAGATTCAATTTGAAAATCGAACACACCGCAAATCTAATCCACTGCCATATCTGTGCCCTGGATATCTCCGCGGTGGCGGAATCCTCGACGTTGCCGTTGTAGAAGAAGTGCCCGATTCCCGCCAGCCAGTGGTATATGAATAGTATTGCTACCGCCACGTTGTGCCTCAGGCCCTGTGACGTCACTCCGCCCTTCGGTATGCTCAACAGGTCTTGGGTGGTGATGTTCACGTGCAGCTGACGCTCGATCTGATTCGGTGCCGAGGCGTTTTTCTTCCAAAGCTTGGATACAGATTAAAATTTTGATTAAGAAAAACAACAATGTGCATTTCTTTTTAATTGAGTACAACGGGTCGTTTTAAATTTCGAATTTTCGAATACTCTCGCAGAAGAACAGCGTGAGGAGGAAGTATTATACTCTGTGTATTGTCTGGTGAACAAGGTAGCCGGAGCCCACACTTTTAAAGGTAAAGGTGTCATAAAAAACGTTTCGACACCTTGACCAAATGTTTTCATATTTATTTATTTATTTACCCTTTATGCACAAATAGTACGACATACTTAATGTTAAAAGCATTATCTCCCAGTCAACCTTGGGGATACAGAGAAAATTACAGAGAAAATTAAGTAGGTGCACACTGCACAGATGTCCAAAAAGGAAAACGCTAGTATTTACAAACTATGTAATGTATATATAATATATCATATTCATCATAATTATAACACTTTATTGCGTATTTATTAAGGTTATAGCTAATGTTTATGTTTAGAAAATTAGCAAGAAGATTCATAATGGACAGATGAAAAATCATTATGCATTAGCCGTAGAATCTCAATTCTCGATCAAGTGGAAAATGTGTTCGAATCAACGCTTTTTCGTAGTGAGACGATCAAGGTTGTATTAAGGTTGTATTATGAATTGTTGAAGGAACCTTGAGCACTTTAAGAGCAGCTACTATGTACCCACTTTATCGAGTTTTATGATTAATAATTAAAACTTCTTCCGCTTCCAAAAGAACAGTAGTCATGAGCTTCTAAGTCGACATTTCATCATAGGTTGTCACATGGTACGTAAGTTTCAACTAACGTAACGTAACGGAAGTTTCAACTAACGTAACGCAACGTAAGTTTCAACTATATAGTACAAATTTCTTACAAATTGTACAAGTAACTATAAAAATTCTAAATAAGTTTCAACTCAACTCTTAACTTATCTAGCGCCGCGGTCGTTTGCGACACCCAAAGCCCACACTTACATCAATTTTAGATGCAAATGGCTGTGCCAAAATGTTTCCAATGCGTTCTAGTTTTACTTTGATGGTACCTATCTATATGTGGTATCTTTAGCTTTACTTTGCTGTCCCAAAACGACGCTAACTTATATAAATCTGAAGGTACGCAATATGATCGTTCTTAACGATTAGTAGCATATGGTCCTTTTTCAACACCGTTAAAATCTTGTTCAAAATTTTCTTTGGGTTTTTCTTCCACGCGATACCCCAACTTCGTAAAACTCAAACGCAAAACGACTGCAAGAGTCTTAGACTTCTCAGCCCGTCAGTAAAAACTAGTATTTACACTAACCATTTTTTAATTAATATGGGAAAAAAATACATTAGCGGTATACCCATTATCGGATTCGTGAATCGACTCTTTAATAGTGATCGGAGGAAATAACTACGGCCCTCTAAACTGCTATACAAATGCGTGTTATATAAAAAGCTATCGTAGCAACGGTTATTCTCTGGTATTAGTTGTCACAAACGGTTTTTAGTTTCAATATAAAAACTCCGCGAGTATCTACCTTTTACAGCACGCATGAACACATGCGCGACCCTACCCATAGCGGAGGGTCCAAACCCGTGGGTTCTGGCTAGCCCACCGGTTCTGCGTCCGATGAAGCTTTAATAGTCTCGGGACTGAAAGCAAAAACATCAGTTAATACAAGATACAAGACCTTTTACAAAAAAAGTTAAAAAAAGACGTCCGCACGATAAACAAAAACTTCACAAAATTTTTGCTATGTAATATTGTTTTGTTAACTGTCTACTTCTTAGCGCCTTGGTAGATTTCCATCAGAATCGAGGCGGTCTTTTGTTATTTTTTACGACATAAGGCGGCCAGAAATTTAGGCTTCGGTTACCTCACTCACAAGACGGAATGCAAAAAATATATTACTTCCAGCTCTTTTGTGAGGGCACGGTACTTATTAATGTGGGGTGATGTTGACTGGCAGTGAATGCCATTAGGCATTAAGTCCGCCCATTGTAAACCCTAGCTTAAGATGGAGCGACGAAGCTTAAATAAATAAGATGAGTGTTAGCGGGCTGGCGTTTCACCTCATGTAATGTGATAACCACCGCCCATTGACATTCGCTAGGTAGGCTCATAGGGTTGCAGATGTGTTGCCAGTTTTTAATAAAGTGAGCCCCGGCCGCCTCTATACAGAGGGTATCAGGGCATAGTCCACCACGAGGCCCTACTGCGGATTGGCGGACTTCACATATCTTTGATTTTTTTTTTTTTACATGCATGTCTAAAAGTAATAGAAACCTACAAACCTACCTCATTTATATACGGCACCAGACGTATATCATATACCATAAATCCGTCCACACCTATTTTTATCTCTTTCAGTTTCGATTCTAACACTTTGTTGATAACAATTTTCGATCTGGAACAAAACATATTTATATAAAGTAAAAATAATACAAAACTAAAAATGCATATATAAAAAGTATAACGATTTGTCTATCTTTCTTATATACTAGTTTTTAACTGTAGCTTCGGTAGCCTAGTTCTTCAGTTATGTTACTGTATAAAGAGAGTTGCATTCTTTATTCCAGTTCATAAGCTAAACGTATTTCAGATATCATTAAAATCTGAGTAAAACAAAACGAAAAACATTTGCATTAAAACTATAAGTGCAAAAATGTCTTACTTACTTTTCATCGGAACTATTGGAACCGGGTTTTAGTGTGGCCGCTACCATTCCGCCAGTAGCCAAAGCACCACGAGCATGGCATGTACCAATTACTAATTTCATGTAACTATTCAAGAAGTGTTGATCCATACTCACATATTTGTTTCTGTCGGGCAATAGGAATTCCTTACGATCACCTATACATATGAACAAAATCGAAAATTATAAAAGAGCAGCAATATCCTTTGACGCTGATGGGATGAGGTTGAAATAAATTGTATACATACTTCTAACTGTAGCCTATTTATTGTGACAGAAAATTAGACTACAGTGCTCCTTAATATCCTTTGTGTACACTACAAATGTAAGACTATTTGCACATAAGAAAACGTGAAAGAATCATTTATTAATTAAACATAATCGACTTGCAATTTTTAGGGTTTTGTACCCAAAGGGTAAAACAGAACCCTATTACTAACCCTCTGCTGTTTGTCTGTCTATCTGTCTGTCTATCACCAGCCTGTATCTCCTGAACCGTGATAGTAAGATAGTTGAAATTTTCACAGATGATGTATTTTTGTTGCCACTATAACAAAAACTAAAAAACATACATTAACAACAAATACTAAAAAATATTTACATTGGTCTCACATACAACCAACATGACTTTTTGTCGTTTTTATAGATAATGGTATGGAATCCTTCATGCACGCGTCTGACTCGCACTTGGCCGGTTTTGAACATCATGGGACTTATAATTAAGGCTTTCTAAATAGATTTCCTTATGTGTGTTATATTTTAGAAGATCAATAATATCTATCACTAATGATCATAAAACTGTACACAACAATTTTTATATCTACTGATAATAAAACTATACAAATAAATTTTTATATATAATTATGTAAACACCTACTTCAGTTAATAAATTAAAGAATGGCTTCTTACCAAACTTAGATATAATAGAAGCACAATAGTCCCAAATCCCACAATTAAGTCCCAAGGAATGGTCCTTCAAGGCATATAAAATTTCTTCCAATTCAAAAGTGGATATGACATTCTCTATTAAAACACAAGCTTTTATGGTTCCTTGAGGCAAATCAAGTTCGTTCTCTGACCACTCGAATATATTGTTCCAAAGTTTTGCCTCTGATGCACCCTCAATTTTAGAAAGATAGAAGTAAGGTCCACTATTGGCTTCAAACAATTTTTTTCCATTGTGGTATAATAATATTCCAAAATCAACTAAAGGTCCTATGGCCTCTTTTCCATCTATCTGAAATAAGTAAAAATATATTAAGAAAAAAATATTTGACCTTGTAAACATTTTCAGTTTTCACTGAACATGAAAAATATCCATATTTACGGAATACAGTCTATTTATTTTTTATTTACCAATATATCATGATCTATCATGTTCCATGCTCTGGGCCTTAACATTAAGACTGGACAGGTGGTGATACTAAGAGGAGCTCCAGGAAGGTTTCCATTTACAACTAAATTAATATTATTGTAGGCAAGTAATTGATTTCTCCAGGTTGGGCAATGTCCATCGTCAAAATCAACCTGAATGCCTTGGACATCAGCATTAAGGGCTTCAATAAAATGTGCAGTGTTAGATGCTGATACATCACCTAAATCTAGATGACGATTTCTGAAAATACAAATAACAATTAAGAATACAAGAACTAAACACAATTAGAAAATTAAACTTTATAAATAATTTAAGACGTTTTATTTACATACTGAAGTCTCGATGGAACAGAAGCTACTTTCCATGATTTATCACTTCTTTCAAACGATTTTTTAAAATCTAAGGTAACTTTTGTTGAAATATTCACATTCCTTTCAAGTCGATCTTTATACAATTTTTCAATACTAGAATCAAAAGTTTTATGTAACTTAGATATAAACTCAATAGCTCCCCGATTGAAGATTGATTTCTGAACATCCACTAATTTTGGCGGTGGTGATTGCAACATAACAAAGTTAATCATGTTTAATAGTTAGCTTAAATTTCAAATTGGATAATAATATGAAATATTTTTATTATTTTTTATTTATTTCTAACGATATATACACAACAGTTATAAGTCAATAATGCGCTTAACAATTCAATGCACAATATTTTTATCTACAGTATTTTCTAAGATAATGTTTTGTTATCATTCTCAATGACATTTAAATTGTAAACAATGAATTTGAAGTTCCCTCCCTATATTTTGACAGCACACAGTAGGGGTGAAGCAGTATATAATCGTTATTGAATCTGATCGATTATCGATTACTATAGAACTCGGAATCCCTAGTTGTATGGTTAATGATGTGTGGTCCTCGTCCCTGAATTTGTCGCGCAAAGAAACTCGAAACATAGCTCTTTCCATAGCTTGGTGTGTGGCTCTAAGCTTCTCAAAAATGCCAGCTTTTAGAGGGCACGCCTCAGTGCCCTACGTCATCACTGGGAACACACACTGGTTATACGCCCTTGTCTTCAGGCACCACGGAATATTGGACGAAAAGATATTGCGTAGTTTTCCGAGGAAATTTGCGAAGAACTAGAGTCACCGACATGGCTCTCCGGATTTACAAGCTGAAGTGACAATGGCCAGTCCACATCACTCAAAGAACTGATGGCCGATGGGAAGAAAAGATCACGAATCGGAAGACGTAAGGTTAGAAGGATGTGTTGTCTGATCTAATAAAATGTTTAAGTTCAGCATATTTACAGCGGCAGCTTCATATCGTTTATTATCTGACTTTGATAAAACGTGTGATTGTTTATGTTCTACTAAATTCCTTGAATATAATTAACTTGGTTGAGAACTTGGCAGTGTTGGTAAATTAATAGTAACCATGGTTACTGGCTTATAAGCTGCAACTCGGCTAGGTAGATAATCATACACTTTTGCTACGCTATTGCCATTTAACGCTTGACATTTTTTTCTCTTAACCCCATCTATAATTATCCTAATGAGTTTACTGACAATTATTTAAGACCGTAATTAATCAACATACGTGGCTTAAGCGGCGGTACCCATGACAGAGAGCGGGTCCCAAAATGTGTTAATAATTGTCGCTACTTAATATACACCACTCTTACCTCTAGCTCTACACTTCATATCAAAGTCATCAAAATAGGTAATACAGCTTAAAAGTTGTAAGTATTACTTGATGTTGTACGTTAAAAACGTCGAGTCTTTAATGTGGTGAGGATATTGAGCGCTTTTATCTTAGTGGGTAGAGCATCTGGACGCATAATCTGGAAGAAGCAAGTTGTTATCCTGCTAGTGGTTAAAATTTTTTCGACGTATACGCACGGAATTTGTCCAGAAGCCGTAGATGTCTGTGCTGGAATCGAATTTAAAAACAATATACCAAACATATTGATACCTGAAATAAAAAAAAATTATTATATCAGAACTTTTTCAACATCCCTACCTCATAGAAGACTGCCGTGAAGTGGAACTGTTTTGACATAAAAACTTGACATTTGTCAATGTCATCATTTATTCTCAATTTCTCAACAAATCTTACTTTTCAGGGGCCTTCGAATTTAGATGTGTAATTTAAATTAGCCAAGGCTTAGAAGAAACTTTGAATATAGCGTTATTTATATACTGTAAAAAAGAATAAAATCAAGCATATGTTTTACTTTTCATTTATTTATTTAAATGTTAAGTAGATATTGTTATTATATTTATTATCTTAACGGCACAGTTGCCCCACCGTCTTTGTAATTTACAATAAAGAGCAAACTAATGCCATGGAGAATTCGAGTGATAACGTGACTGTTGAAGAAGTAAAATTTAAACCTAAGAAAAAAAGAAATATTCGCCAGAGGATAAAGATTGAAGATGATGAATCAGAAGACGAAGAACTAATCTTGGCTCGATTGGAAGAAGCAAAAGAAATACAGAAGCTTCGAGAAAGACCGAATGGTGTTAGTATTGTTGCTCTAGCTACAGGTCAGAAGGTCACTTTAGAAGAGGAAATTGTTTGCAAGGATCCTTATAAAATTAAAGCAGGTGGTATGGTAAACATGCAGGCTCTTAAGAGTGGGAAAGTAAAACAGGTTGATGACGCTTACGATACTGGCATTGGAACTCAGTTCTCGGCTGAAACCAATAAACGTGATGAAGATGAAGAAATGATGAAATACATAGAGGAACAATTAGCCAAAAGAAAAGGTTAGTATATGACTAGATTTTCAGATTTCTGATATATAAATGAAACTTTTTTTGTGTTGTTCTTGAATTACTGACTATTTTAACCACCTGGTTTACGTAATGTTAAGTGATTACTGCTGCCCGTGGACTGAACTTTTACACATTGTTGTTTATAGATGGACTTAGATGAGTTTGTCGTAGAGATAACTCACCAGATGTAAATCAAAAGTTCACACTGTTTTCTTTTGAGGCTGTGGTATTACTCTGGAAAATATTGCCTATTTGTAACAGTGGAAATTGTAGTATAACCTTTCAACAGCAAAGATATTACTTGATTAGATATTTATACCATATTTATTTAATTTTTTTAATATTGCAAGAAATAACTTCTTTCAGAGGGCAAAAATGATGATAAAAAGGACTCTGAGATCAATGACACATTAAAATATTTATCACCTGAAGAAGCTGCTTTATTGTCCCTTCCTGAACATCTAAGAGTTTCTTCCATGCATCGATCAGAGGAGATGTTATCAAATCAAATGCTGAGTGGAATACCTGAAGTTGACTTAGGTATTGATGCTAAAATAAAGAACATTGAAGCTACAGAAGAAGCAAAAATGAAACTTTTGTGGGAAAGGCATAATAAAAAGGATGGCCCTTCACAATTTGTGCCGACAAACATGGCTGTAAATTTTGTTCAACACAACAGATTCAACATGGATAGTGATAATTCCAAGAAAAGAAAAGTAGAGAAAACTGAAGTACCGAAGACTGAAGCAAATGTTATAGATGATAGTGTCAACAAAATTGTTAAGAAGGCTAAAGGGGAAAGGGCGACAGATGACTATCATTATGAGAGATTCAAGAAACAATTTAGAAGATATTAGATAAAAAAAATATAATAAAACATAGAACAAGTTTTATTACACTGATCCTTAGCTTACTTATCAATGTTTGTTGTTACTTTATTTAATAATAACAGGCTTCTGTGTGCCGCCCCAAGTGCGAGTCAGACTCACACTCGAAGGTTCCGTTATCAGGGTACCATTAACTATGAAAACAGCAAAAAAATCATGTGAGGCTCTGTCATTTGTAACTGATAAATTTTGGGCTCTTTATATTAATATGCTCCGCATCACACTTCTATCTTCACACATCACACATCTATTCTTCCATAACAATAACCTGGGAATTTTTTATTGCGAATTATAATTAAAGGCCATCCCAGAAATATGTTAGTATTTTTATTATATTTTGGATTTTAAAATTTTTAGTTTAAATTATTTGCCTGAATTTTGCTATTTGCTTTCTAATTGAAATTTATGTGATTGCTGGGCATTTTGAATGAAAGACAATCTTCAGCCAAATCTAATTTTAATTGTCAATAAAACAAATTTCATAAGATAAAACAAAAGTAGGTCGGACGGAGACAGTGTATAATACAATAAAGGAAATTCACAAAAGGTATTTTTGCAGTTGTAGCATGAGAAACACATTATAAATTAAAGATATTCAATATTGGTCCCGATGGTAGTAAAATGAAAAAAAGTGGAATGTGGATACAGTATGGTATTTTTCAATATTTCTCAGATCAAGGCTTTACAAAGCAGGTCAATATCAAAATAATAGTTGAATAATAACTTTCATATAACTAACATTATATCTCAAATTGCTTGGCAAATACAGAATCAAGTCATAACGACATAAATTAACAGTAATAAATAATCTGTTTCATTAATATAATACTTAGAGAATATTTTGTTACAATTCTACAGTACAAGTAAAGGACCAAAGGATGTGAGTAGATTATTCAGTTATGATTGAATATATGCAAAATTTGAAAATAACAAAAAATCAACAATTCAATGTTAATAATGACGACAGATTTAAAAAATATAATAATCTTGTACAATCATGCAAAATATTCATAATTTCATACATTGTATTCTATATATCTCGCGCTTTGTTAATTGCAACATTTATTTATAATATAACTTAAGACCAGATATTGGACGGAAAGAAAAAAAACTAGCCTAGGGTATACAATTAATAAACATAAACAAAATATTTTTTTCCTTAAAAATAAAAAAGGCGAAGGTTAAGGCACATTTCATGTACAGAGGCAAAGGCACAAAATTTCCCTAACTCATCATGAATGACCAAAGTGAAATATTATAATAAAAATATAATTATTTGCTAATTTAACACTTGATGCAGTATGAAAAGAAACTGGTGGGTTCCATTTACAATAATAAATATTTACAAAACTTAAAATATATAGTCTTTCTATTCTCTATATTGCGGTCAAATTTACTTTTGTTTTAACATAACTTTTATACCATCAAGCATGAATTTGCAATAGGATTTGTGCCGAATTGTTATTAAAATATCTGCTCCTTTTTAACACTTTGTGCCAAATATGTACAAACTATGAAAATAAGAACTTTGTTCAATCAAAATATACATAAAAGTTGATTGTGATAAATTGCACTTAGAAAAATACATTGTGAATGTACAATTCCTTTTTTGTAATAAGCTATAATAAAATTGTGCTCTTATAGTACTGTAAACATATACAACAACTTTATAGGTACTGCTACATCTAGTAAATTGTTAGTCTATGAGACCAAAAAGTAAAATATCCTCAGACTATATTGACAAAACAAGAAATGTCTAAAAAGTTCACAAACTCATAGTACCTATATAAATTTTAGATTTAATAATTGGTAACAAAAATTATTTCAGTGTGTTTTTGCTTTGTATGCTTGTGTTGCAAAAATGTGCAGAAGACATGGTTGTAACTTTACATGATCTCCAGAAAATCTGAAAATATATCATTTTGTATCCTTAACAGGATAACTAATCTAAATACAAGTCATTTTTTATAGGGATATAAATTGAAAATGTCATACAGTTTAGTGTTTGCTCAACATTATTTCTAGAATAAATAAATGGTTAAAACTGCCAACTTATTAAATCATTAAAACCATTGTGATGTCATCATTTTCAAGAACCTCAAAATGTCCTACATTCTGTTATGTGTCAACTATTCAACTGAACAAGCTGTAAATACATCTGTGCAAAATACATCAAACGGACTTTTCAGATCAACCGCTATAGAGCTAGCGAATATAAATAATTAACAGCTAAAATTATTTAATATGATTAGATTGAATAAACTCGAACGCCCTACAATATGCGTTAGATACGAACACGTATTAATTATTAACAATACATTTACGAACAATACATCATGAAGACTGACAGAAGATACAATATAAACCGACCCCCGTTTCTGCATTCAACTTCAGTAGACATTTCGGTACCTTCAAACCTCGGTGCTGTGAGTCTGTATGCGGACCTTCTTCTGGCTGCCGTTCCTGTTGAGCGGTGGCGAGTGGCCGGAGTAGCCAGGGTTGTGGATGCCCAGGCCGCCTGGCTCGCCCTCCCTCGGCCTGGGCTTCTTCAGCGAGGACCTGAGCGGCGACCTGGTGATGGTGCTGGCGTCCGACAGCCCCGTCAGGGTGGTGGCCGTCGTGTTCATGGAGGCCACGCTCCCGTGCCCGTTCGTGCTGTACGGCTTGCCCGAGGCGTCCGTCATTGATATGCCTGTTTATGGGTTATATTTTTTAAACTATTATGCGATTCATGATCTACGATTCAGCTAGTTTCTTTTTTTTTATGTGAAAAGTTGCAACGCGAGCAGACGCTTCACCTTATGTTAAGTGAATACCGCCGCCCGTGGACATCTGGTACACCCGAGGGTTTGCAGATTCGTTAACAATCTTTTGAAAATTGAGCTCGGGCCAACTCACTCATCAGACGAAAAGGGAAAGTATTATACTTCCACTTTACGCCGGTTTTCTGTGAGGTCGTGGTACTTACCCGGACGAGCCTACCCATTCGTGCAACAGACGAGGCTGCTACGTGGCCCTACCAAAAACCTAGTTTGAATTAGTTAAGTACAGACTTAGCTGACCAACTCATGTTTGATTTCGAGAACAGTATGCTGTTTCTTATCATTTAATTTCAAAGTCCTTCTTTCTCCTGAATTTAACATACTATGTATATCTTTGTGTGTTATCTATCGGGAAGGATGTCACCTACGCGCCAAGAATTTATCTGAGATATACAAATTCATTACGCGATTGTTCTCATCCATTCAAACATTAATGTACTATGTATTACCTCTTCCTTCTTTAAATCCGGGGTTGTTGATGGTGGTGCCGTCGGGCTCCAGATGGGGATTGGTCGGGTCGCCACCGACACGTCGCGAGAAGAGTGTGTCGTACAACGACACTATGAACAGCACTGAATTGATAACTATGCAGACGATCTGAAACAGTAATATTACCTTTGTAACAATATATATGTCAGTTTAAGTGAACATTAAATTTGTTTGAAAATGGACGTAGTCATTCGCAGCCGCGGCAATCAAACCCGCGTCTTCCCGTATCGCGGTCAGACTCTATGCTAAACGGCAACTTACACAACGTTTTTCTACATATTTTAATCTTAACGTATTTCATATACATTGTTTATTTTATTTTTTATTTTAATATAAAATTTGTGTCGACGAACAATGTCCGATTGTTAGGATATGGATAGGATAGCGCATTTGTTTCTCGGTATTATTTTAAATATAAATATTTATTTTAAATTAAAAGTTCGATGTTCTAATTTTTTGTTTAGGGCGATTTAGCATCCCTTTGATTTGAGCTTGTTTTAAATAACTTTATCAACAGTGTATGCAAAGCTATTTACATTTACGGAGTGTACGCACAACCCCGCCACGCGCATGAATCTTTTTTTTTTTTTATGACTGATGTTTTTGCTTTCAGTCCCGAGACTATTAAAGCTTCATCTGACGCAGAACCGGTGGGCTAGCCAGAACCCACGGGTTTGGGCCCTCCGCTGTGGGTAGGGCCGCGCATGTGCTCATGCGTGCGTTTAACTATGACATGTCATCTAAGGGCCATCGAGGTCGTGGTTCGGACCGAAACCCCGATGGCCGTCGACTGTGCAATTAGCTAATCGGTGGCTGGGGGCGGTGAGAACCGCCCTGGAACGCGGGTGTACCTTGTGTACGCGTTGTGTTGGTCTCGCCGTGCTCGGAGGCGAGGGCGAACTAGTATGTTTGTTGTTGCACTAACTGTGGGTGTAGTGTTATCCGGCGGGACCCCCGGCGATGGGTCCGACGTATCTAAGTCCCCTTCATCGACCGGGTCGATGAGGACGTTTCGCGGGCGACGCTTGTTGACGTTCGCGTTTGTGTCGGGTTGGTAATTTGCTGCGCTTACCACCAGGGGGTTGGGATGATGTTCGGCTCTATCGAAGAACCGTTTGGTCAGGTCTTTAAAATATTCGCGAATCGTCGGGAGTCTGCAATCGCTGTGCAGATCGACGTTGCGTTGATACCACTGCGCACCGGTTGCACGGCGGATGAACTTATTTTGTACTATTTGCAACTTGTACAAGCGAGTTGGGTGCGTGTGGGCGAAGGTCATTCATGCGTAGGACATAATAGGTCGTACGCAGGTCTTATGTAATAATAATTTGTACCTTAAGGGCATTTTACTTTTAGCGTTAGTTAAATTGTGTAGTCGGCCGGAGACGAACGCGGCTCTATTACGAACGTAATTAATGTGCGTAGTAAATGACATACGCGAGTCGAAAGTGACTCCTAAGTATTTGCGCATGAATCTCTGACACATACTTTGTAAGTATTTAGCAATTCAATTTGCACCTGTAATCTTGATGATACTGACTTCGTGATTCTAAATCCAAGTAAAATTATTTAGAAAGCGAACTCCTGGACACTAATTATAATGTCTCGATTGAACTTTTTTTTTGTTATTCTCAAAAAAAACCTAAATATTCACATTATTTTGTCGCCAACTGATTTCATTTTTTCTTTATTGCAATGCTTCATATTTTCATGTGTATAAAAACCAACTATTCTATTGGTTAGTTTTAAAATGTGATGAAATGTTTTTCTGCAAATTTCAAAATTTTCGTTTTCTTTGGGCGTTACCTGGACATAGAACGCCTCTCCTCTCGTTTGATAGAATCCCCTGTCATCGACTTGAATCGCGAACAGGCCAGCTGCGGCGATTGAGAGCAGTGCTGGAAGTAAAATAAAAAATATAAAACATACGTGACAGGAAGTTGCCAGTTTTAGTATAAACTTTTTGGGTGACTGTTTTTCTTGGGACTTTCTTGACTTCTTCCGTGAATTCTAGGACGAAGATTTATGCTCGTTTATGATTACGTACTATATCTCTAAAAATGTATCAACATTAAGTCTATCTGATTAGATTTTCTAAAGCGGATTGCAAGTCTTTAACGAAGTATTCATGATGTAATCTAGTCTGAATTACTTACAAGAAAATTGCGAGAGATTTTACAGTTTCTACAAATAGGTTTTACAATGATATTATTCCCAACTACTATTATTGTATCGTACCACTTAATATGTCCCGGGCGTAGCCAGATTTTAATATTAGGCAAGGTTCAAGATACAACATAAAACAACAACAATGTGCATAAAATGACAGTAATATTTAAAATAGAGGTTACCTTACAAAAGTCTGAGTAACATTAAACATGATCAGATTACTTAAATAAAATTAGTTTATGAGAAATCAACAATGTAAATTAAAAAAAATATTTCGACTGGAGTGGGTTTCCAGTGGGTTTCCCTACAACCGGTAATGTCTCAGCTATTGTACCTGTACTGTCTAGCAAATTGGCTCGAAGACCATAACTTAGAATTAAATTACCAAAAAACAAAGTTAATGCAGTATAGACCATATCTAAAACGACATTTAAACATTAACTATTCATTCCAAAATACATAAATAGAATGCGTCGCTGAATTTTCCCTTTTGGGTTTGACGATAGATACATTTATAAATTGGCCCATATACAAAATATTACTAACAAGCTAGCGAGATTCACATACGCATTAAACGAACTCAAAAAAGCAACAGATATAAAAACAACAATAACAGCATATTACGCATACGCATACTCCTGGCTAAGTTACGGTATAGTACTGTGGGGTAATAGTGTTGATGTAGGAAAACTATTCATTTTACAAAAAAAATGCATCAGAATAATTGCAAATATAAAAGATCCTTTAGAGAGCTGTAAATCACATTTTATTAAACTTAAAATTTTAACATTAATCTGAAATTAGTAAATTCGCTAGAAAACACCCATCTTTATTCCCTCTCGTACATAATGAACGACCTCAATATCGAAACCTCCGATATAGAAATAAATTAGCGTTACCAAGCTCCTCATTAGCCCTCTTTCAATCAGGACCTTACGCGATGTGTGTTAAGATATACAATAAAATACCAAATAAAATTAAGGCAATAAAAAATTACAATCAGTTTAAGAACGAAATGAAAAAAATATTATTAATCAAGAGTTATTATAGCATACACGAATATTTAAGCGACTAACAAACACTACTCTAATATACTCAAATATTCTATATTATAAAATTTTATGGTTATGAAATTATGTTATATCAATTTATTATATATTGTTAAGTTATGTTTAAAAATAATTAAATTAATATTAAGTTATATGGACATTGCACGCTTAATTGTAAAAAAAAGTATTTGTATTTTAATTCTAATTATTTAATGCTAATTTTATTTAAGTCTTAACATTTTTTTTTTTACTATTGCTATGCCCTAGCAGGGTCCATGATGATTCTTAATTTTAAATCTCTACCACCTAAGCTACATTGTGGAATGCAAATAAAGAATAAATAAATAAATACTGAATGAGCAAAGAACCTGTAACCTTCCTATACACATACGAATACAATAATATGATGTACGAAAATATATAATAATATATATAATATACGAAAACGAGTCGAATGGTTGTACTCACTCGCTAGGAGCGCCAGGGCCAGCTTCACCATCACTAGGTGCGTGTACTTCAGGCCGACCTTCTCTTTGGACGATATCATCGCCAGCTGCAGTACGGAGAGCACGCAGAACACGCCCAGCACCGTCACACCCACCACCGCGACCACACCGGCAATGTACACAGCCGCTGAAATTGCAAAAGGCAACTTAATGGGCGTTCTTTCCCTCTATAATGAATTGATCGCTCCAGGCTCTTTCAAGTGTAATTTAATATATTGTATACATGTTAAAAAATGTACCGCCAGTGTCTTTCGCCAGTTCTTCTCAGGTTTTTTTGATAACCAATAAGTAAATATAATGCTTCTATAATGAATGAATGAAAACATTATAGATACTTCTTCTCCGGTGAAACACTCTTTACAGAGCTGTCTTTTTGTTTTTATATGGGACTCTCTAGTGGTTGATCCGATGGTTAGTTCAACAATGGTAGGGCCAAGCAGCAGATTTTACTATTGCACGAATGGGCATGTTGACCCGGGGAATTACCACGGCTTCACAGAATACCGGCTTGAAGTGGAAGTATTATACTTGCTTGTTTCGTCTGACTGACCGTCACTAATGAGGAAACCGGGGCCCACATTATGGAAGGTTATCAACGCAACCTTCCAGGTTTTGCAGATGTCCAGAGCTGCGGTCATCACTGAATACTTAAGGTGAACCGCCTGCTTGATTGAAGTCTTTCACATAAAAAAATTTCACGATCCAGCACTGGCTAAGTAGAAGTCTATTCACTCTTCTCTTGAAGAATATAACGTAGGTAACCGACGTTTTGAAAGATAGAAGTTGACAAATTGTTCCATTCCTTTGCTGTGTGCACAACAAATGATAAAGCAATACGCTTTATTCAAGTGCGTGCAATGTCAACAACGAACATGGCTGTTTTGAAGTTGAAGAGAGATTTCGCTTATCTGATGTTTCACAACCTTCCTCTACTGACGGTCAGTCTGATACATTTATTCCCCCACTGCGGGTCTGATTTGATCACACCAGACTACGAGGTTCGGTGTATTCACTTTGCCGTGGGCGTTAAGGTGCTCTATGGACTACTCGTTTCTTTAAGAGACGTGACGTAAGGATGTTTGTTCGATAGCATGATTCTAGTAAATTGGTTCGATAGTGAAGTTCAGTCTTAAAAATACTTCGGATCAATTTGAGACCATGCATATACAGGGCGATTTTATAGACGACGGACATATTAACAGAGCACATGCAGAATTAAAATCTGGTACGTACTTGTGACCTCATTTTTCTTTTTTTTTTTCATAGATCATTTTTAATTTTTCAAACGATAGGGTGTCCCTATGAGAAATTCTTAAAACTTATTCACGAGCACTAAAACTGTTCGCTGAATGCATAATCACAAAACGCTTATCAATAGGGTGACCACTCTTAACGAAATAATCAAACAATGATTGAATTGATATTTTTTCTGGTTATTTTTTGTCAAAATAAAATATTGTTTTTTTTTTACTTATGGAATGCTCAATTAACATTGTCAAAGTATGTACTTCGTCTCATCGTGTAAATCACCCTGTATGTATTTAAAACATGTGTCACAAGAACGTTGAAAGTTGGCAAACTTAATGCTTTAGACGTCTACCAGTAAACCTTCAAGCAAATCCAGAAAAGATTCTGTCCTAGATGACACGTCGCTTTCAACATGTGAAACTACTTTATAAAGATTTTGTAAATTTTTACGAAAACATGGTGACGGTGGCACATTTAAATAAGTATATATTTATACAGAACTTAACGCAAAGCAATTTTACAATCTGGAAGTTGCAATACAAAGGAAACAAATGTAATGTTTAATTAAAAATGATATTGACAGATTAACAATAATCTCCTTTTAACTTGGTAAACCAACGATAAATCTTTTAATTGACGAAATGTTGCTAAAAACGTTGTTCGGGAGACAAAATATTGGAGTGGGAAAATAAATGAAAATAATATGTTGTTGAAAGGCAGTTTTGTGCAGTCTTTTTGCGTAACCTTATCCGCGATATTTCAAAGCGCCGTTCCGGGTGAGAATTTGCGAAAGAAAGTGCAACGGATTTTGCTGTAATCTTCGGCTCGAACGCGGAATGATTGTCATTCGAAGAGCGTAATGGAGGCGGATTTGTCAATGCTATTTCTCAACTGCTCTCGCGGCAACAAAGCGGACAATAGCGCGCATTTAAAACCCGAAACCATAAATCTGTGCGTCGTCACGCTTTCCGCAAGAAAAGAAAATAAAAGAGTATTTTCGAATTAGGAATTGAGAGAACACCGATTTTGAATAAGTTCACTCGAATATTAACAGACGAGTAGCGAGTACATGTGGTACAATGAAATAGAACGATGATTTTAGGTAATAGGATATTGAGATATCGTATTCATAAATAACGGTTCGGCTAGTAGTAGTTTCATTGTGGCAAACAGCTACTCGTACTGGATGGTCATTTCTGATAAATTAATTTCTGAGTATTCAATTCCATTTCGTAGATAGCTGTAAACTCAATTTAGAGCAATCGATTCTATGGAGGAGTTAGAATGAACAGGAATTTCTCTTTTTTTCAATTTATCATATTGTAAAGAATGTATAGACACGATAGGTCAGTGTAGAATTGTTATTGAAACTTACAAAACTTCACTTACATTAAATAAGTAACTGATTTGAGTATTTATTATCATTTTAATAAGTAAATCCTATTATTTTAACCAATTATTTTTATACTTGGAAAAAACTACAGAAAAAATACTGATCACAATATGATGGACTGATGAAGATCAACTTTAATAAAGAGATATTTAAATATTAATATTATAATATATGTATAAAATATATAAACGTGAGATATAGAACAAGGAACACAATTTCTTTAGTTTGGCAAATAAAGTGTAATTGAGACGTAATTAACGGACAATTCTATAATTCTCCGCTTTTACTACGGGGGAATAAAGGCGTGAGCTACTGTGCACATATATTTATAAAGTATTGTCCATATTTTATACAGAAATGTTATCGAACTCACCTAAAGCTACATACATATAGTATGTATTCTTTACAAATAACTGAAGAAGCATCGAACGCTATCTCATTTATCCGACAGGATTGTACACCGACAACATAACAAAAGCACAAAAGGATGTGTCTCCGTCCAAACTAGATAAGTGACTGACGTGATGCCTAACCCAACCTGAGTCACACGCACTTTCCACTTGCTCAAATCCATTACACATTTAGCGCGCCAAGCAAAACATTAGTGGAGCTTTTACAAGTCCGTGCGGTTTCGTAGGCAGACTAAATGTGACGACAGGAAAGTTACAAATTGAAAAAAAAAAATAAAAACTAACTAGCGTGTGTTAGAAAGAGGCAAAGAGCGAATCGGTGCGAGTCGAAGGGCATAACGTTTTTTCTTTACGTGACGATTTCTACAAACTTCCATCCCTAGTCGCCTTAAGGAACTTCCTTCCAAAAAAAATATGACGCGAGGTGGCTAACAGGCTTTTATGTGGATGATAGATGAACCCGAAACTAATAGTCTTGACTCTGTTAGTTTCGGCCTCTAGACTTGCCCGTTCGTGCATTCGAAATTCCAAAATCCAAAGCCACAAGCAAAAATGTCACAAAAAATGGGGATATAATTTTTGGCAGCCCTGAGTACTCTGAGATTTAGGTCAGATTTCAAGGCCGCGGCATTGCACACACTACCTCATTTCTTTGCTGAAGGCGTATTTAAGTCGACTAATGTTCGCTCATTTGAGCCCCTTTAGTCATTCTTCATGACAACAAATACATTTCACTAAGCACTCGGACAGGTTTAGCATAATTTGCTTTTGCATTTTGTAATAACTCATCCGAATGTCATTAAAGTTAAAAAATAAACTGAAATATCCTTTTTCCCTTTAGCTCAATTAAGATGGGATACTTATTTTTCAAATAAGTTATCTCATTATCAATAAATATAGCGGTTGAGAAAAAAAAATAAACTGTCATGGCAATCTGCCGACAGAAGTGTTTTTTTTTAAATAATTATTTTCTTCTTTAATTTAAGAGCTAGGCTCTTGTCAGCGCAGCATCCCAGTAGTTTTCATCATAGGTTGCTGCTGTTTTGAGGAATTGAATAGTGCAGTAGTTTTCTCATTGCTTTCCGCACCGCAGTTCAGAAGCCGGCGTGCCGCCTTCGGATGTTTGGTCAGGAGCCCTACCAACCAGAATTATTCTTCTGCCAATACTGACACTCATCATCATCATATCAGCCGTAGAACGTCCGTTGCTGAACATAGGCCTCCCCCATTGACTTCCACTTGTTATGTTATTGTTATTTTTATTAAAACATTGCCCTTACTTTAGGATAACATTATCCTGTGTAAGGACGTTTTACATACTTAAATTTATGTGGACAAACACCCAGATACGAAACAACTATCTATGGATCACACAAATAGTTGTCCCGTGTGGGAATCGAACCCACGATCCCCGACGCCGAAGCCAATACCTTGGCAACTGTCAGTCATCACTTCCACTTCGACCGGTCGGTAGCGGCTTGCGTCCAAAGCGTCCCTGCGATGTTTACCAGGTCGTCCGACCACCTTGTGGGAGGGCTTCCTTCGCTGCGCTTGCCGTCTCGTGGTCTCCACTCAAGAACCTTTCTGCCCCAACGGCCATCGGGTCTCTGAACTATGTGCCCTGCCCACTGCCGCTTCAGCCTGCTGACTCGACTATACGATCTATTAGCTACTCCTTTACATTAACAGATACCAATCACTACCGATGACGGAGCCCATAAACCTTCACTAGTATAAAAGCCACGTCTCTTTATTTCAAAAGACTTGTGCATTTCCAAGAGTTCCAGGATACGAGTTTATCGAATTAAATTTCAATATTGGGACGAAACACCGAAAAAGTACAGACTTCTTCTCTTATACTGTTATGCTCTCTAACTAGGATCACTTTGAGGTGATCTTATACATTTATGCAACACGAACGCCATTGAAAATATAATAAAAAAGGAATAACCTCTGTAAATAGTTCGTTATTCGAGTACATCCAGTAAGAGTTAATTATCCTTTCACATTAGGTTTTTTTTATGTGGTAGTGGCAAACGAGCTGGCTGTTCACCTGATGTTAAGTGATGACCGCCT